CCGTCAACCTCCCCAAAGCCTGCCAAGACCGGAATTTGGTCCGCCCTCCGCTCGCGCTACAACGAGTCCAAAGCCCGCCCTCTCAGCACTGACCGCTCTCTTACCACTGCTGCGCAACCCCCACAAGCAATCAGTTTTTCTTCGCCGCTCCCCCCTCCCGTCTTCAACCCGCCGCCAGCCCGATTTTGCGACGGCTGCTCATCAGCCCTTGCCGGCCGCCCCTGCGTCCACTGTCTCACATGCCCCGACTATGACCTCTGCTCGCGCTGCTACCACGAGGGCAGAATCACTCAGTCTCACCAGCAATGGCATCAGCTTCATACACTGCACCCACCCGAGCGCCGTCCCCGGAGCTCCCGCGGCTCTTCAAGAGGTGGGTTCGCGTGTAGTGCGTGCGCGGGCGACCTGACGGGTGAGGTCAGGGTCAAGTGCGCCGACTGCTATGAGGAGTACAACCTCTGCCTCGACTGCAACCTCATGGGCGTGGCAACGGCAAGACATACGACATCCCACAGAGTCAGCTACGTCAACGACGTGGCGCCCGCGAGGCTGATGGCGAGAGATGGCGAGCCAAGTGACGCCCTGGTTGGGATGGTTGAAGGCCTCTTCGAATATATGGATTCGGCCTTCAAGCCAAAGAATACTGGGCGGCTGGAGCCAGAGAAGCTCAGTGCGTTCTATAGGAAAATGGGAGTGGCGGATGCAGAAAATATCGGTATGTGTTCCATGTTAATCTGCTAGCTACCCTGCTCGCTATTTCTTTTTGCTAATGATGGATTACAGGCCTCTTCACCGATGAAAAGATCGCATTCCAATATCTCTCTATGCGTTGCCAATATATGCTGATCTCGGCCAAACATGAGGAGATCTCTTCGCGCGCCAAACCGTGGACTATCGATGCGCTCGATACGGCACCCACCACGCCAGTGCTAACAAAATTGGGGTGGATGCGCTTCTTTGTGGTGTGCACATGGCGTGCGCCGACTACGATGCACTTCCTCCTCCAGAATGCGATTAATACCGGCTACATTAGGAGAAAGTCGGGTGGAGAACCGTACTATATGCCACGCAAGATCTCCAGGTCGGCGTTGCCTAGTAGGCCGTTGAATTTGGGGGAAGCGGTGATCAAAAACTGAGCTTGGTGTTGAGACGTGTGTGTGTTGGGATTTTTGACTTTATTTGTAGTTTATTTTTTGAGGCTTTATTTTGTTTGGTTTGTGGGCGGTGTTAATGGGGTTTTTTATTATTATTATTATCAAATATGGTTATATTGGGACGTTGTAGGATTTTGAATGATTTGTATTGTGAGGATGTAATCGCATGCGTAATTATTATTCTAAAAATCATTGGCCCAGTGGATAACTTTCTCCACGGTTCTGAAAACAAACTACATAGTTCCTGACTTTTTGTCCTTTTTATTTACAGTCATACCTCGCTATATGACGGAACTCAGCACGCCGGATCGGTCGCTTTACTATGTACTACAGTGTGTTATCCACATGCTCTAGACGACGGAATTGTATGACCTCTTGTACTTATAATTATATGCGGAGGACCAAGTACTGTTCCATGACCTCGTCGAAACCGGGTGATTTTTCATGACTGTCCAACTCCCCCACCAAAAAAAAAAAGACTTTTCCAGAACCAGTTCAGTAAACCGCAATATAGAATCGTGTTGGAACCGAGGTTTGGCCTAGTCAGTTAGAGAGCAACGATAGCGAGAAATAAAATAAAGCTATTATCACGGAAATAAATCAGGCCTAAGATGGGCAGGTTGGTATGTTTAGTAGTGAAGGCTCATGTTTCTCTGGGTACTAAGCTACGTAGCCATAAGGGCATACGTATAGATTATTTAGTAAGAGTGCTCGACCATCTATATGCCCCTAGCCTAGAGGACAAAGAGAGAGAAAGTGACCGGAAGACAAGGTACGGGGAACCGCAGATCTTGCCATGGCGCAGCTTGTTCATGGGCCTGGCCGCCTTGAAGATAATGTCTATCGATGTGCACACACAGCAAACTTTGGGATTTTCCACGCACGGGAGAGGGCTACTGTTACTCAAAGGTGCGCAGGGAGAGTTGGGAGGGTGGTAGATCAAACCAGCATCTTGGAGGACGGTAGCATAGCGTTAGTTCTTAGCTAGCGTGGGCTGTATTTGTGGGTACTTTCACTATAGCTAGTCCAGGCGTAGTTCCGGGTATGTTGTAAAACTTATGGACCTAGATACTCGTGCTAGTACTGTAGTCTGTTTCCCGGATTTAAATAGGATTAGAGCTTCTCGCAGGGTCTTCGTTCACGGCGGGTGGTGGGTGGTCAATTCCGAGTGATATCTCATGATTGAAAAGACTTAGGTACTGATCACTTACGGTAATGCATAAGCTGACTTGATAACCACCCTATGTTTCTATAGAATTGTTCATGGGGATACCGAGAAATTCAGAGGGGAGGGGCAGGGCAGGGCAGGGTAGAATAATAACCCTCCGGCCCCAGTCTCCCGGGTGTACCCAAGGCCCAGAATTAAGATTGTCTCGCCTCCTTTGATGGAGGAACAAAGACTCCGGAGACGGGGCGACGGAATGATAGACCCCCTCACAGTATTCGGCTTTAAAATTTACCCCATGATTGTGGAAGTTACTTAACCCCTTACAGAGGAGGAGCAGAAAGAGGCCCACAGCTGCAGCAAGTGAACCTTATTTTCAACCCCCGCGGACCACAGCTTGTCAGAGGTTGTGGGGCGCAGATTCGTCCCCAGAGACTGGCTTGTGCTCAGCTGTACAAGCTATTGACCCCTTCCAGAAGAATGTCTACCCAGCGACCGCTCTCCTAATCCCCGAACTACTATCACACCATTTGTGTAGGTCAAATACTCAAGATCGCCAAAAGGATATATTACGCCACCTATAGTACAATGAGCTCTAAGGATATGGATCTTTAGTTATATCTAGTTCATAATTGATCTGAGACGTTATTCGTGCTTACTTACCTGTTGTCATCCTCGCCGAAGAACCATGAAACGCATGGTGGCTGTCTGTAATACTGCTGCTGTATGAAATTCGGGGTTGGAATTTCGGAATGATACGACACCTTCAAGCCACCGCGTGCTAATACAGTATCTATTTGATCCGCTGTTTGTGGTAGTGTGAGTGTTAGCAACTTCAAATTGGAGGGCGGTTGTACATGCATCCCTATTATAATCATAATATATCACTCGTAGCAAGGCCACTGCCATTCCAAGCGATGCCGTGCTCGTTCGTATCAATTTAGAAAGTGCTTAGAAGCTTTACCCGCTTTCTCATCTGCTCCCAGGCTCGCTTTGGGGAATATTGCGATTGATCCCCTTGTTTTTCCGATTTCCTGTTTGTGGGGAGGGGAAGACGAGAAGTTGAGCCCTTACGTATACCCTAACGTTTAGATAAGCGGGATCTGGCCAATTGAGCGCACGCGCACCGTCTCATATCCAGATAAGTTCTATAATCTACAAGTTACATGTACCTTAGGACCTTGGACGACCAACCTTGGGCAACACTCTCACAACGTTGAAACATCAAGTGGATAGCTACACCCAACCACAAAGTACCCATGCAAATCTTCCAACGCTGGTACCTCACGGTTAGTTGCGTGCTGTGGAATTCATACTAAGCGGTTGATATATCCACACCGAAATGTGGTGAGTGAAGACGCAAGCAAGGATTCTTATTGGAAAATTCGATGCACAATATCACTATAATAACCTTGACTACTTCGATCGTGCCCTAGACGCTGACTCTGTCAGCCAATCCCGACGCTGGCCATCCGATTCTGGAATCTAATATTTAGTTATTCCTCCCCACTTGTTTCCAGAACGCCCAAGCCGGAGTATATATCACCCGCTCCTATGAGAATTCGAAGTCCAAATTCCAGAATCCCAATCTGTACTAGGCGACCAAAACCCGACCAGGATTATCCTAAAGACCTACGCCGCAACCAGGGAACACTTACCACCGGCCTGCATCAGAAGCTTATGTACCATCTCAAGCTTAAGCCGAGGAAGACAAGATAAGTTTACATAGACCAATTGGGGAGAAAGCTGAGGTTTGTTTGTTGTGGGTTGATGCGTTGTGTCTTCCGGATTCCACTCTCCCATGTATGCAGACAGCCGTGGAAAATTCAATGCCCACATAAAGACGGTGGCTTTTTTGTTAATGGACGTTTTTTGGGGGAGGAAGAATCCAATTGGGTCTAAAATGTTCACCTGTGTAGCGGTGGGGAGGATAGCACAATTGAGCCCTGTTTGCAGCATGCAGGATACGTAGCTAGGTTTTTGGGCTACGAGCTTGTTATTTTTACCTCGATTTACTTATCACGAGGAGAAAAGACTGTAATAGTAATCCATTACATTAGTGGCAGAAGAAACGGGTTAGCCCATGGGCTATGTTAACCTTTCTATGCAACTAGAGTATCAACTTTAATCTAAAAGGAAGTCTCAGAACCTGCTCGAATAGTAAGGACAGTACACATGTACGATAAAGAGCCTTATTCCGTCAAAGAGTATCCTTAGAAATTTTCATTAAAGAAATGAAATCTCTAAATAGAGCGTCAACAAGACTTTCAACATATTATGTGCAGGAAGGGGCGGTCAATTTTTAGTGGGGATAGCGATAAACGAAGGGAAGAAGCTGGGTTGACAAGTTATAACTAATATTTCTGTCTTATTCAATGATTTCATGAACTCAATACGTCTCACTGCATCTGCTCCAAATATGCAGGAGGGTTAGGGCTCATATGATAGGGAGTATGCACGCCTTTTGGAGCTACACTCAAGCTGCAACGCCGAGAGATGGAGCATTTATGGCCCTACTGATTTCCTTTTGCGCCATATGCAGAGGTGGGTTGTCTCCCTTAGTATGGGCGCACACTTAAATAGTCAACTATACATCACTAAAAGACTTCCCTCGCAATTGACTTCTCTCAGAACTCCCCATCTTACTACATACCACAAGTTCAAAAGACACAATTCTCAACATGCTTGCCTCTATCATCACCACGCTCTTTTTCAGTCTTTTCGGCTTGACGGCTGCCGCCCAGTCAAAGATCAACGCCTGGGCTCTACCAGGCAACAATTCCTTCCCCGAAGGAATTGCCCGTCAGGCCCGTTCTCCATTCTTTTACACCGGTTCCTGGATTACCGGTACCATCTGGCGTGGTCATGTCAACAAGCCTGATGTCGAGGTCTTCATCCCCGCAGGAAATGACTTTAACCTCACCTCCGCCAGTGGAATGAAAGTCACCAACGATAACATGCTCATCGTCGCCGGTGCAGCAACCGGAAAGGTTTTCGTCATCTGCCTCGAATCCCGCGAGATGACCCACCGGTTCCAGGCTCCAGAGGGTGCTCTCCTCAACGACCTCGTCGTTGCAAAGAACGGCAATATCTTCATCACAGATTCCTTCCTTCCTAAGTTGTATGTCATCACCCCCCAGCACCTCGAAAACGGAAACATCGACCAGGAGCTCGAGACGTTCGCCGAGCTCGAAGCACCTTTCGAGCACGAGACTGGACAGTTCAATTCCAACGGAATTGTTGTCACCGCAGACCAGGAGAATGTTCTCATCGGGGACTACAACAGCCATGCCATCTTCAGACTGTGTCTAGGATCCAAGACCATCACCAAGGTAGATTTCGGCAACGCAACTGTAAGCATTAGCATGGATCTCCCTTGCTTTTTCGTACCTTTCTTCCATACTAATTATAAATCTCGCTTCTCTAGATTGGCTCGCCTGACGGTATGCTCATTCGTGGTAATACCCTCTATGCCGTCAACGGTGATAGTACAATGGGTACCCAGGCCTTTATCGACGTCTTCGACATCCGAAAGCCATACACCACCGGCAGGCACGTTCGTCGCATTGAGGGCCAAGGGATGCTATTGCCTTCTACTGCGGCGTTCGATGGAAACGATATTTTGGTTGCCAACTTCCAGATCGGAAAGGCTGCCACCTCCGATCCTACTCTTCCGTTCACCATCGTCAGGGTGTCAACTAAGAAGGCCAGAGGTAACAGGATGCCATCTTAGGGAGTAGTGTTTCAAACAATTCATTCATGTAAATAATTTTTCTTTTGTTAATGAAATAAATGTGACGAGTCTCCTTAAATTGCTTGACTTTCAGTGACAAAAAGCTAGCCTTATTGTAAAAATTCGAGCTTCTGCATGACGATCGTGAGCAAGTGATCATGAAGTTGGTTTGAGATTAAAGCCAGCTTGCCAAGAATTATTATGCTTCCCAGCACGGCGCAACGTAGCCGTTTGTACTCGTGCGTTTAATGGTCGGAATTCTTAGTAGGGATTTGGTTGCAACGATATCCGACCATTTAATGAACGCTCGAGTACAGCGACAGGTAATAAGTGATGGAACGCCCTGAGATATAGTTATACCTGCAAACACCGTATGTTGGTGGCGTTTTACCCAAAACAGGTATCACTGTGTCTCAGCGTGTTCCATCATTTTTTACCCACCGGTGTAGATTACTGTACAAACAGATCTACAGACTACAACGGCAACATACAGGCGGAATGTTTTAGATGCTTTTAAGTTGTCCACTTACACAAGCCCATTTAGCCATCCCTTCCTTCTCCTTCATATAATATCCTCCCCCTGCGATGCGGCGGTAATATGTAACTACTCGCTATCGTCCATAAGAACCTGAAAATGCAAGTGACATTTACAAGGGTTATTTGTATGTAGTGGCGTCGTTCTCCCATAGAAATTATCCCTGTCTTATTTCAGGTTCTTATGGATGATAGCGAGTACATGATGTTCTCATTACAATCTTGTTATTTCTGCATTGCAGACGTCCCTCGAGCCAATTTTCGAGACGGCAAGACCGGCGAGGAACTTCCTCAATGGGAGAGGGCGGCTCTGTGTAACTCGGCAACGGAGAACATTCTCACCTCTTTATTATTTACTGTCTAAGATGACTGTCTTTGGAATGTTTGTAAACACCACATCTCCAGACCCATAATCCTCTCTTTGGCTTGATAAGTACGCGTAACCGCGCCACTGGCAACGTACTTTTTTGCCCAAGCCAAGCCAAGACAGTGAAATTAACCGTTGCGGACCCTGTTTAAACTAGTCGGTGTGTAAAGTACATATGCATAAATTTGGGTTGGTCGAGGACTGTCGTGGTTCAGTACGTAATGGAATATATCGTGATGGGGAAATGGAGATGAGACTCGATATACGGAAAGCCCAGTGGTGCAGTGGTGCAGTAGGTACAGTATATAGGTGAGATCTGTAATAGGGGGATCTTTAATAGGGAGATCTGTAATAGGGAGCCAGTGCCGATAAAGTTTGAGTACCCCCCCCCCCCCCCCCCCCAAAACACTGTTTCAACTCGGTGTTTTCTGCAGACTCTCATGGTACTGTTTGCAAACCGTTTATCCCGTTCTTGTTTAAAGTTCACTCAGCAGACGATCCGGAGTGTTATTTACCGAGTCTCAAGCAGTGATACTCTACTAGTACCTATAAGTACCTGTAAGTAATCATATAATAAAAAAGATTTACCGGAGAATGCATTATTAAGGAAGGCGATGATGACGCTTTCTTACCCAAAAAAAAGGCCGGTTGTTGAGTCGACTGAGCGTCGTATTTCAAGGTAACACAGAGCTCGCCCAACTGAGACATGAAGTGCCATTTAGGTTCTGAGACTCACCAGCCAAGCCAGGCACATTTTCCCTTGTGGTTTAGGGCTAGCCGTTACCAGCTAGTTTGGAGGGCGGGGTTCCAGTTGCAGCGTTGCGGCTCTCTCGGAAGGGAACCCTTTCTCTTCTGCAACCTGTCGCACGTCTCTCGTGCATACGTAACGTCTCAGAGTCCTCTAAGGCGGCTTTTTCACCCCTTCGTGTGATGCTATATTTGTCTGCAGAGAAGGGTGCGTAGATAGAGTACTTTAGGTATGGTAGGTACGGTAGGTAAATATGTATGTGAGTGTGTAGGCACTCTCTAGAGGATGCAGGTAGAGCAGGTGTTGGGTGCAGCTACAGGAAGGAAGCTATGACTATGAGCCTATGGCACTGTAACTCGAAGCCCCTCCCATTTAAACTAAATGCATGGTGGGCGAGGCTGTGAGGTGCAAGCGGTAAAAGATCGTTCGGGGGTGGGGGGGAGGCTACATGTACTCACATTTGCTTTGCATACATACGACGCTGTTTCTTCCTCCCCCAGCTCTCCCTTACCTCACTTACTTTGCTCTACTTGATACCTCTTCCTCTCTCTTTCGTACCCACGCACAGAGTTCTGCAGACCACATTGTATTCTGCTATCTATACATACATACATGCCATACTATACCCGTGCTCTCATCTGTACCCATACCTGCCGCACTCACAATTGTTCTTATACTACACTTGTTCCTGCGTCTTCCCTCCTACCAAGCCTTCTGGACGCCGAGTGCTTGTGAATGTTTCTATCTGCATAGGTGTCTGCCACGAATCCTAACCAGAAGCTTTCTTGTTTCTTTTTACTTCTGATCCGGTCCGCCTACCTCCCCACTCGTACCTTAACAGCAGCCACCACGACTGCTGTAATTATTATTGCAGATTGTTGGAGAATCCAGTATGCCTCTCGATATCAACCTACCCAGTAAGCTTCCACTTTTCTCGTCTCTGGATTTCTTATTCCTGTCCCTTGCTTGTTCTTTCTCCCCTGGCTTTCAGCCTTCTCCACTTTACCCCATCCCCCCCATCTGCGATCCATCGGTGCAGATATCGATCCATTCACCCCTTCCATTCCTTCCAGACGTTTATTAAGGTCATCTCCAATATTAACCTTAATTTCCCCGCAGCATTCCATCTCGCTCCTAGGCCCCGAGAACCCTTCATAACTACCCTCTCATATAGTTCAAATGGCTCGTCCCCTCAGGCAACCTACGTCAAGACCATCTCCACCGAAGAGCAGAATGCCTACAACACTACTCTACACGATGCCTTTGTTCCCGACATCCTCTACGCATCCATAAACGCTCGACCGGAGATCCACCCTTCGTCGGCCACATCCCCTGGCGGTACACCGGCAGAACCCAAGGTCCTTCTACCAAGCGAGTTTGCGATATCGTTGTTCAACCCCGACTCAACCATCATACTCGAACATCACCACTCGGCGCTTCGCGGAACATACTGGGAGTTTGCACTCCCCAAAACCTCCTTTCTCCCACCAACATCCTCAAAACTCGATGCCGCGTCTGCTGCTGCGGCGATTGCTCACCTCCCGCGCGCAACCTTCCGGTGGCGCAAAGAAGGCGGTCTCATGACCCGCCCGCAATTACGATGCTCTCTCGTCTCACCGGCAAATCTACCTAGTCTCCCTGGTACTGCCTCGGCGAGCAAGAAGGCCGGCGCAAACGAGCCCGACATTCCGATCGCCATGTTTTTAGGTCTTGGCGAGAAGAAGGGGATCGGCGAGATCACAATTATCCAGTCCAACCTGAAGCGCGTGGAGGTTGAAGATCTCAAGGGGTTGGAGGTTGTGCTACTGTTGTCTGCGATGGCGATTGGGGACATTTGGTTTCAGTCTACGAACCAAATGTTTAATTTGAACCCGCCTATTCGGGGATCGGCAAACGGAACAGCGAGACGGAAGAACTCCATGCCGCTTGCGGCGGCTACTCCGACCATTGCGGTGTCTGCTCCGGAACCTAGGTCTCCGCCTACAACATCCCCGCAACATGGAAAACCCCCACCGAATGATGCCTCATTTGCAGCAAGGTTCCAGCAACAGCAGCAGTCGCATCAGCGTCGGCACAGTACCCCCATGAATGTAGACGCCGAGTACAGCCACCGCTTACAGGAGGAAGAGAAGCGAAAACGTCGTATTGCTGAAAATGCTGAAAAGGAGCAGGAGGCCATTCGAAAAATGTTAGCCGAGGAGGAGAGCCGAGAGCGCCGTAAGCGCGAGGAAGATATCAACCGTGAAACCGAGCGACTGAAACGGATCTATGAAGCTGAGCGTGCAGAGTACATGGCCCGTGCTGCTCGTAACGCTGCACAGCCACAACGGGTCTCCTCGCAGCAACGGAACCAAAGACCACCAGTGGTCGGCGGGAGCGGTGGTATGATGATGCCACCACCCCAGGGGGGCCGAGGGGGCGCAGCAAAAGACGAAAAGAAGCTAGGGAGTCGCAAGAGTTTCCTTGGCTTGAAGTTTGGCTCGAGCAGCAGCTCCAACGAGGAGGAGAGAAAGAAGAAGCTGACCAAAAAGGGGAGCAGCATGTTCTGAATCCCAGCAATCATGTCTTGACGACACTCTTTTTTTCCCTTTGTGCATTTCCTTTCTTGACTTTTCTTCTCAGGGGTTCGGCCGGTTCATTTCTTGTCCACTTCTTTTCATCTTGACACTGCTTGGGCAGTGCAAAATTGCCTTGTTTTTTTCTTCTCCCTGGATTGGGGTGATGTGGTAGATGCTTTCTTTTTACTATCTATCCACATGCGTATATACTTTCAGCACACGGCCTTTTCAGCCATGGATCGCTTATTTCCTTTTATTTTATTTATTCATATTTTGGAGTCGGAGGAGCTATAGAGGGGAGCAATCTAGATACTTTTTTTTTCCCATTTCGAGAAACCATGCGAGTGACTGTCCGTGACCGACGTCTCAACTGATTATTAGACCAGGGGCGTGCGCATTTCTACAATTACCCACCCACCTACCCGCCTTCAAAATCTGAGACCCGGTGAGTGAGCACGAGCTCTGCACCGGCAGATTCAAGACACTCTCTGCATATCTCTGCATCTGTCAACGCTCGGTCGGTATGCACAGCGGCCGGAATGATCTATGGAAAAACAGGGGGGGTGAAATTGTATGGCGAAATATCTGTGCACCATATAACTGTTTTTTCCATAGATCATTCCTATCGCTGTATGTACAGCGCCCGGTTTACCCATTGCGTCATGTGTCTTGGCCCCCGGAACAGTGCTCAAAAGTCGAGACAAGGATACATGGAGGCACTACACCGGTACTCCGTACGGATCGTTCTTGGCCTGGATGTTTTTTGCTTGGTGGTAGTAGATGAGGCCGCGGCGGGGACATGAGTTGAGTTGAAATGCCGCGGGCCGGGGGTTTTTGGAGCCGTAGTTGCCAAGTTCCAAAGGCAAGGCCCATAGTCTTCAAAGGCCAAGGCTCACAGTCTGCAAGGCCCATAATTACAGTACCCCGCTAGAAACCCAAACCTTCCTCCACTCCCCCGGGTCCTCTGGATCCTCGGCACCAGATTCTTACAGGGCCAGGAAGATGAGTGCCACCCGTCCGAGTAGTAGCGCGGAGGATTGTGCGGGGGAGGGAGCGGCCGAACCGTTGTTATGGTAGAAGGGGCTAGGAGATTTGCGTTGTAGACTTACAAGTTATAGCCACTATAGGCGTGTTTATATAGACAGTAAACTCCCTGTCCACTGAGCCTACATGTAGCAGAGCTTGTCCCTAAGTGCAGCAGTGCGGGTTATGTTAGCCACCTACATGTACCTATAAGCTACGGATCATACCCCATCACTCGCACGCCAAGGCAAAATGGCTCTTCTGGAATCGATCTGCCCATGCCAAAGCGAAATAACCCGCCTTTCCCCACTGCACTGTAGTGGTCTTTGATAACCTCATGCACGGCAAGAACCAGCCGACGTCAACGGTCCAGAAAACGCCGTACCTGCAGTAGCTCCACCAGCGGGCCGAGCGGTGCATTAGTTATCGTACAGGGATTGATAGCGGGGCTCCCCGGGGGGGGGGGGGTGGATAAACGGTAAACAGTAAACAAATATTTCTATGCAGAGAGTGGAAATGGATTTGGATGGAGCCTCCAGTAAGAACAGTCTGTGGGTGTGTGGGTGTGCGTGGGTGGGTGTTGCGTAACCTCATGTAGACAGACAGAACAGCCCACGTTGGCGAGGGCCGCAAGAGAAAGCGAGATCGGCACGTCCATGGATCCATGAGGCTGCCTTGTGTGTCTTTGGCGGGGCATGAGGCATTGCTTGTGTTTGTGCTTGTGTCCCTGTGCGTGGTTACACGGGAGATCTTCTAGTGTTACAAGGCACTCAAGCCTCTGAGCCTCGCGCGTGTATGTAGTAGCACAATGTGAACGATAAAGGCTATGGCCCTTCCACACTACACTGGTTCTTTTCACTATCTCAGAAGTTTATCGATAGCCCTGACAGTTACTAACTTGCAACGGGAGTTATCGGAACGACATGCACTGGTGATATGAGGGCTCTAATCATAAAACGGGGCCCCCTCAAGCATGGTGCCCAGCCTTCTCTCTACTGGTACAGAATTAAGAGTTCTGCTAACGACTTCAGGTACGCATCAAATCATCATCATAATTCATGTAGCTACATACACGTACCCGATTATCCGTTTTTTCTAAACCTTTTCGTATACAATCCCTTCCCCACTGACCGAATCAAAAACGCCAATCATAGAATTATCCAGAATTATAGTTCCCGTCATTTTGAGGAAACAAGACCCTCCACTACCATATCCTCTTAGCAGCCATACTATACCTCTTCACATCATCTAGGTTGATCTCCCTAGGTAGCGGTCGACTCTCTCTCTCCTTCATCGCCCTCTCGCCCGCCGGGTCATCCGCATAGATCCACTTCTTCTGATCATCCGAAACATCGATAAGTCCAAAACCACCAACCTTCCTCGCCCCAGTCATAAAGTTCATTCCCGCACGCTCCTTCATACCCTTGTAGCGTTTGCGCGCAAACGTGAGGAGACAGATCCCAAGGACAAGCTTGACCGCCAAGCAGACCAGGAAGAAGCCAAGGAAGAATATGAGTAGCATAGCAATGGCAAACAGGTTGTCTGAGGATGATTCTGGTGACGAACCCGTACTTCCCCCGAACGGCGACCCGCCTAGTGCGCGACGTAGTATAGCGTCGAAATTGGCAAGAGCGGCTGTCGTTACTGGCGATACGTCGGATTCCGAGAGAGATGTTGTTGCCGAAGGGAGCGGTAAGGGCACGTGGGTCGCAAGAAACATTTGATAAGTCTGAAGGCTTGCACGGATAAAAAGACATGCTAATGGTATCACGGGCAAACCGAGCCTTTTGGTCAAGTTTTGATCTGTGAAAGCCTGAAGAGATAATTATCAGCCTGGAATATCAGATAAAATGGAGGATTGGTCGTACATGTGAGTAATAGTCTTTGCAGAGCACGTCCAAGAACCGTTCGTATACGGCTGGTCTGGTATTATTAAATTTGGTGATATAGGCATGCTTCAACCAATCAACTAGCATCTCGCTGCCTAGGACTATTAAGAAAGGGCCCATAACCTGACCTGTCCACTCAGGAAAAATAGTAAAACTTCTAGGCAAGACTCCACCACTACTTCTAGAGCTACTGTCACCACCGGCGAGCGACCACACTCCAACCTCAACTAGATTCCGTGATGCAATAATGACCAACATGAGCCATAGTTGAAAACGTTCTACAACATCAGCGCAGGTCAATTGGAAAAGACTTTCTTTCTCAAATTTTTTGAAGACTGTTGATTTAATTTCAACGAATTGGACAGAGAGTATTAGAGTCCCAAGAGCATTAGAATATGAGTTTACGGCAACATTGAGCGTTATCACTTGGTAAAAAAGTGCGGTAGAATGCAATGCTATTGAAATTAGCAGTGTTATCATATGTCTCGAAAATCAAGGGAGAGTACTGTTGTAGACCAATGCAAGTAAGAAAAATCCAAGCGGCCTCAGAACCTTACTGCGTCCATCTGGGCCTCTTTCCAAGGTTTCTTTCGAGAAAAGACACTCAAAAATATCTTGCCCTACCGCAGAGCATAATCTGTCGCTGATCTTAAACCACGACTTGAATTAGCTGGGCAGTTCACAATGCAGAGTTCTGTTTAGAATAATTCTGAGAAGCAATGTTTCAATAAATCAACCATAGGTATTCATACCTCTAGCATGTTATATATGACATATAACTTAATGCCGTTCTGCCCTCTGATAGAATGATACATTCGACTAGCGTCAAATCTCATAAGAATCCAGCAGCTCGTGAATACGACCAAACCTCTTAATATATCTGCCTTGTGACTTGGCTGTAGATCTGACACGATCTTTACCCTTTTTCCCTTTGCACTTTCTCTTTTGGAAACCTCAGGCGAACTGCCTTCACTCCCACATGCGGAGCTATTACTCCTTTGTCGTGATCCTTTCCCCCAACTCAAGGAACTTTTTATGCCTCCCCACCAAAAAGCAAACAGAACACCAAGAGCTCGCACAAATCTAAGTGGGAGAATCGTAAACATATAAAGCCAACTGTCGAGACAGGCCAACATTCCAAACCACAGTGCCCCTTCAAGTTTGCCTGGTAGGAGAAGGAAATTTGTTATTCGTTCAAATGCAATGGCCGCCGAGTCATCTGGGTGATGTTGAGGAGGGTAATGTGTACTTGTTGATGGGGTATGTTCAGGCTCTCGCGGGGAGGGAAACGTCGTTGGCTTAGCATGGGACGTAGGAGATGAGAGCGCAAGTGAGAGATATGTCTGTAAGGGCAATGGAGGAAATGACGACGGAGTGGGCGTTGCAGATTTCAAGAGATGGGTAGTTGTGGGAGCATGACCAGAAAGAGGGCTGTTAAAATCGCGGCGATTAGGTGTGCTATTGCGGGCCGAGGGAGTTGAAGCAGACTTTGGTGATAAATGCGAGCTAGGAGCACTCGAATGTAAGGTTTTTATTGTATGCATTGCATTTCTTTGAGGGGAAATTAGGTTTCCTCCTTTTCCCATTGATTTTCCATGTTGGTACTGTTGCAACTGCGGTAATCTTGAAGGGGAGCTCTGGGTATCTAGCTGTAGCGCTCTGGGGAAAGATTTACTTCGTCTCATACCCGTAGGTGCAGACAATGTTCGGTCCAAGGCCGACAATTGCGGTCGTGCGAATGGCAAACCCTTTGCACCAATCGGAGAAGTAGTGATTGGGTTTGTTATAGATCTGTGCCTTGTTGGAGAGGTAACGGAAACAGTAGACATGAGGGGTGGTACTTGATCTTGGGACGACGGTTGGATGGAAAATGTTGTTGGTGTATCGTGTAATAGCTCCCCAAGCCGGGTCGGTGAAAGCTTCTGCATTTTCTTCGAGTTCGTTTGAGAGGCGCCGTTTGAAAGGGAATTACCCCTACTCTTTGATCTACCACGGGGCTGAATATTTTGGGGTTCTTCTGTTTCAGAGACCCAGGAGCTATCTGACGACAAGGTCTGTTGATCTGGCAGAACCACAGCCTGAGAGCTGAGCTTTCTCTTTTCCTTATTCTTCCTAGTACTTTCCACTGGCATATCTTTAGGTCCCAGATTATCCTCAGCATTGCTCTTATCCCCGAGCCCGTTCAAATCTTCAGAGTTTCTTGGTCTGTTGACTGCATTCCCGGTTATCCCTTCAAGGGGTTGGGGCGCACTATCTTGACCGGAGAAGCCGTTGGCGAGCATCATTTCTTTCAAGTCGTTAATTGATGGAAGGATTTCCTGAATAACTTGGATCTGAGAAGGTTTTGTAGCTGATGCCTTCCTGACTGGCTCTTCTGGAGAGGCCATGTTGCAGGCCACAGTTTACTTAGTTGACACTTGTAGGTACTCGCGGTGCCGAAAGTTAGTTAGTATTGCTTAGTCATCACTATGCGGCCTCAACATGAAACCTCAGACTGCAGGTCAAGGTCAAATGACAAGCTGGTGATGGTGATATCATAAAATCACTAGTTACCAGTAAGCTGGCAAGGCCCCGAATGTGTTTTTAACCGAATTATACTCCATGATTAGTGCTAGAAAGTACCAAGTCAGATTCTATGAAGTACCGAACCAAAATCGATGAAGTAGTGGTAGTGAGGCCTAGGCACCGAATCAGAATGTATAAATTACAGGCGATGTCCACAATGATATGGGAGTTGTGTTTTTTATATTATAGGATAAATACCTAACCCTGGTCTCGAGATTATGTACTTTGGGGGTCAATAGCGAACCCGGTTCAATAGCGAATGCGCACTTATTGACCAATAAAACCAGAAAATATTGCTGACAGAAAGAGTGTGGAACGATATGTAATTAGTTTGTTTTGGGGCCATGCCTATGGGGCGGTAAATGTGTCAAAAGTAATTTTACCAACGGTAGTAAATTATTTTACCACCGGTGGTGAAATAATATCAGTATTTATACCTAGAATCCTAATTTTTATGATAAAAGCACAGATATTTTGGCCAAAAGGGGCCATATAATGCCAATATATATGAAAATTGTCCACCGGTGGGGAATTTTACCACCGGTGGTAAATAATTTACTACCGTTGGTAAAATTACTTTTGACACATTTACCGCTCCATACATGCCCAGTACTATTGTAGATACTTTATAAACTTACCTTAATACATATACTCTAGCTAGGACTCTACTAAGCGTAGTGCAGCTCCAGTCTACATAATTACATGTATATAAGTACAGCCACCCCGCAAAAGTATATGTATGTAGGTACTACATACGAAGAATTAACTGGGTAATCGCTGTACGTAATGTAATATTCGAAATTATACATACTATTGCATTGACGAAGACTATGCACGTTGATATTGTTTGTGGGGTTTTATAAAATAGATAATATCTTTATGACGTAGTCACGACTCTTCTCCACAGTTACAGTCCTCAGGATTACTACAATTATTTATACAGGAAGTATTCGAAAAGCACCAGTCTCGTTCCATAAACATACACCTTCGACATTGCTCATTCTCGCATTTCAATTTCTTGTCCCTCTCTTCCAATATATCCTCTTCTAAGTCCTCAATAGACGGAATTTTCCTGAAATAAAAATTATTACATGCTTGCACTATGTATGAGAAATGCAGGTTCTTACCCTTGTCCATCCCTTTTCCCACTTCCGCTCTCAACAGCTAACTCAAAATTCGCTCCTAAGCTATCAAGAAGACATAACAAGTCTTTTTCAATCTTTGAAGATCCTTCCTCTTCCATGAACTCTCTAGTATGGGCTTCTCCTAGTCCAAGGGTCGACATCAAGAAACGTATCCACTTAATCATTCCATCTTGCTGAAGAAGAAGACGTTGTTCTGATGTAGACTGTACTACTTCCTGATTCCAGACGTTGTCTGTTGCTAGCCAATCATCACGAGTCCTTGGAAGCGCGAAATTTATCCGTTCCAGCAACAGGTCGCTATCATTTGTAAGGGAAAGTCTAGCAAGAGCTTGAATATCAGGGTCGCCATCTGTTAGCGGATAGCTTCTAAGCAGATTAATGAGTACGTCCGAGTTTGCCGGCAGGTATTCTTTTGGAAAAATGGTGCATTGAAGCGTTTCCAAGCAATCAGCATCTTTCCAGCCACCCGTCCTTGAAATCTTTTTGATCGAGCAAACGTATTCGAGAAGTCTTTTGGCTATGGTGTGTATAGTGGGTAGTGACTTTTGTGCTGGATTGATCAAACGAAGGAGATAATCACATCGTCTTTGAATAGCCGTTGCGTACTGCAGAGCGGGAGAGGTGAATCGCTGGGCCTGAGTCTGGTCAGTTGGTCCGGATTCAAAGCTTTTTGAGGTATTGCTTCTAGATCTGTCTAGTGACTTGTGAGACTTATGTACTTATACACGCACTCCGACTTGAGATTGTTACTAACCAAAGAGTTGACACGCCTCTCCGGTTTCCGACTGCCGACCTGAAAGACTTAGTATTTTATAAATTTTGATTAGGTTAAACTGACCTGCAGTATTGGTGGATGATATTTGTCCAAATTGATTAGTAACCCTCAAGGCAGAGGAAGGAAAACTTGGAAGTTTTGTTTTAGTGTCGTGCTCGATCCTTGAAAGCTCGTTCTTCGCCGAGTTTCTTAAAGCGATGCAATCAACTCCGTATTCTAGAAAGAAAAAAAAAATAGTTGATGTGAGCTTTGATTCCATTCAATTATGCCTGCTCGTCGAGCTTGCATGCAGCAGACTCTTACAATGCGGATGGTTAAATGACTCACCATCTCTACCCAAATCCACATAGCCTGCTTCATCCAGAAAGCAAAGAATATCCTCATCATGTTCCCCCTCAAGCACCGACTGACAACCATCGACTATTGCGCGGTTCCCAATCTTATCGCGTTCTTGCTCGTCGGTGTGTTCTTCTTTTAACACAAACCTAAAAGCGGAACTTTTTGAGCATGATTCCGCAAGCACATTCCGTTCTTTGAGATTCGCTTGAACGCATTACTTTCTTATTACTTGGCTTACTTGGCCCTAACCCCACCCCCGAATTTCAAAACACTTACCTTGCATCAACACTCGTTTTACTAGACCCGAGTACCAGTTGTTCGTTAATACGGCTTGAGGAGACTTCTTCTACCACCATATAATCATGTCAGCAAACTTATAAGTCATTGAATCAGCAAGGATTGAAGTTTATATACCAAGATTAACTTGTCGAAGCCTTCTCCAAAGGCCCGCCCGATTCGATACTTGTCTTGCACATTCACATTTCCGTCCTCCTGTTCATTGAAGCTTTGGTGTTGGTGCGGTAATGGTAAGGGAGTATGAAGTAGGCTTACATTGACACTATTATTGCATTTCTCGCAGAAAGCTTCAACGGAGAATTTACTGCCGTGAGTTCCGGTGGTGATAGTTTTCTTACATTTGGGACAGGTAGCGTTTATGGTGGTAGCTGTTTTTTGTGGCCTTTTCCCCATTGTGTTCGAAAGCAAGCTTTTCTCAGAACTTAATAATTCTGTACTGGTGAATGATTTGTCTGAACTATTGGTTTCTGGCGGACTTATAATGCACCCAGGTTTAAGCCTAGAGGATTAGTACGATCCGATCAAACCTCTGATGTTTAGGGGCTTACATTTCGCTTGAAGACAAAAGAGACTTATCTGGAGAGCCTTGGGCCCTGGAATCAAGCATTCCTTCTTCGCCCCTCCTATATGTCCTCAGTGCATCAAGATATCGCATAATCATGAGCATTCGATTATTCTGTACCGTAACAGCGGCCTCTGTAGATGACGTTTGGGCTGGATCAGGCAAGGACTCCCTCCAACTCTCAACATCCGGACCATCAAGCTCAGACGAAGAAATATACGAGTCTGACTCGGAGTCGCAATATGAGAGTTCATAATCTAACAGCTGCCAAGGCTCCTCCGATATTTCCTCAGTAGAAGTCTCGTCGTCTTCGTCTTCGTCTTCGTATTCGTATTCTATAAGCTGCCAATCCGCGTCGGTCCATTCACTTGCGAGATTTCGGTTTGCACAGTGTACAGGGCTTGCATTCTTTGCTGAAGTTTTGCTTTCACCGCCTATGCTCTTTCCCACCCGAGGTTTGTTCTCAGTATGGGAGGTAACATGCCCGCCTCCGTTTGGTCCCCTTCCACTTGGCCCGCCTCCACTTGGCCCGCCTCCGCCATTTGGGTCGTCGGTTCTGCGAGTTTCCGATTGACCATCGTTACAGGTCCCATTCGACTTTGTATTCCTTCTTCGCCGTCTTTTCAAGCCTATCCTAGTAGGGAGCTGATCATGAAGATCAATTTCGCTAGGTATATCTAATGGATTTATCGCTTCGTGTGGGGGTGAGGGTGGATATGTTACAATCAAATCATTGCATATACCGATCACTTCCGCATACCTCCTCTCATTTTCTCCCTGTGTTGCCTCCTTATTCTCACTGGCATGTAGAAGGGCTTTCGTTATATTCAGGATTTTTTGAAAACCCTGAGCCAGCACCGAATTCGAAGCTCGAGCACCGATACCCAAACACCCACCACCACCAATTTGTTGAAACCCCATCCGAGCTACATGGGCAGCTATGATTTTCTCTAGGTCGACCTGTGATATCTCGTCGACACGCTTTGCGGTAACGATGTTTTTTGTTCCAATAGTCATGGGGGTAATGAGGTCGATCCAGCCCTTGCTATAGGTGTGTATTTCGGAGCTGAATGCAGGTTGCGAGATACTATCATTGTAGATGTTTGTGTTGGGAGCTATAGCAAAGTAATCCCATTCACTACGTTTGTGGCGGATACAGATCTCTTTGTAAGTCTCATTCTCGGTGATCTTCTTTTCCAGCGAGGTCAAGGGCCTGCGAATGATTGTTAATTAGATACAATAATAGATCTAGATATCATCATAGGATGAAACAACGTACAGTGCTATAATTTGGTTATGTATCTTCTTGATAGCAAGATATGGACGCTGATTTGCCTCTTTGTCGTGTGGTAGGGTGGTCCTGGCTACGAAAATCATGCGAGGATGAATCCCGGAAGCTCTGGTAATTCTTCTACTGTTCTCAGAATTTGTAGCCATCGGATTCTGAATTTGGTAGTATAGTGGGTAATTTAAGGATAATCTAAAGATGAGAGTTCAAATAAAGTGATGAACTAGAAAGTACTAATATGACAACTTGAGGGGCGAAAAGGGCTCAATATATAAACCTACGGTACGCCATATATCACTACTTTATACATGAAACTACATATAACCCAGCTATGGAATTTTACGTACAATGTGCGAAGTCACGTACAACCTTTGTGGTTTTGGTTAGTGATCATACTTATCTTTATCCACAAGAGGTAATCCAGATGTTTACAGCCACTACGTATATACATGTAGTCTTAATGTCTCACACGTATCGAACATGCTAATACATAGGTTATGGGATTGGATCCGATCGATGCTCACTGCTAGCTAGATCAGCACTTTCTATGTACCTCCTAAACACGGTAAACAAAACACAATCGATCAGAAAGAACGGGGCCTAGATGCGTGTGTACTACCAAACACATTGAGTTATTCCCATGGGACTCTAGGGCTTTCAAGTACCAGGTTACGCAAGTTGCACTCTGTGCTACCTTGTCATACGTACATAAGTAGACAGTAATGTTTCTACCAACAACATAATTAACTTAATGTACATAATTCCTGTTTCACTATGAGTCTAGTCTGCTTATGATCGAATATGAATGTGCGCACACTATTAGATGCAATGCCGAGCTAACGTGGTAGCTGAAAGAGCTTTTATTCACACTGGATCAAGGTATGTACTACATGCATCTACATCCTAATAAGGTGTTTTACACTTTTAGCGAGGGTCGACACCGGTTGCAAAAGTTGCAAGTCTTATCTACCATCTATATGATCTCAAACAAAGATCCTACACTCCGAAACCTCTGCTTTACAGCAAATCACTCGTCAGACTCCCCCAGTGGCAGCCTCCGCTTTGGTACCTACCAAAAACCAACCACAAGGAGTACCAAAAAACACTTACAAGAGAAACAATATGAAAAAACTCCCGAGATCTTCTTCCCTTCAGGCCAATTGCTGGTCATGGAAAACAATTCCAATTTGGCCGCACACACCCCGCAATCTGCATGCTGATGTACATACTCCATCGGTCGTGTAATTAGCCTACCTCAAACGCACTCCGCAACCCCCCGCTCCACATACGCCACCCTCATCTGAATACCCCGCCCACTAAAACAATTACCCCCCCCCCCCCCCCCCAAACCCCGCGTTACGAGCTGTCGAACTGCACTTCGCACTTGGCCCCCATGTACTAGAATACGGAAACCATCGAGGACCAGATCAAGATTTGACTCATTACAACTTTTGATAGACATTGAGTAGCCTTGTTTATCCGTGGCAGAAGTATGGGTTTCTAGTTGTCGGCCAGATCAGCAGAAGAGTTAAGTAGGTTATACGTAAGTAGTAGAGCCCGAGTCTGGTTATGCCTGGAAGGGCTGATAGATCATCATTAGATGTGGGGAATTGGCTTAAGCTGGAGGCTCGAATTCACGGCAAAATCGGATTCAGACTACGAGGCCAATCGAAACGAGTGGGAGGGTAAATCTCTAAGGTGTTCGCCTTGTATCCCGCGAGTGATGGGGGGTCTATCAAGATATTTTTGTTGTTAGAATGGCTTGCGGTGCCTGGAAGATTCAAAGGTTTTGCAACAAACAACAACGGGTTAATGATTAGGTTGACTACATTTGCAGAGGCGCGTAACCTTATTGATAGCTCTGTGTGATGGCTATCGTTCCCATGCCTCGAGATGGTTCTTCGATTTCCTTCTATCATAGCTTCTGTCTGCCTCGGGTCCTCGAAGGGGCTCCTTAAGAATCAAGGCCGAACATGTTTCCCCATCACCGATTCCCATGTGCCTGGTCAGGATTGATTTATCCGGTTGTGCGTTTTGCAAGCTAATGCAGGTACTGTGCGCAACAAACGACTATATATTACCATTTTGAGCTATATACATATGCAATTTCAATATATGGGAGCGATGAACATTGCCTTGGAGTAAGCCTAATCCACGAGGGGAGGTAGGGGAATCGCATGCACCGCAGGTTGTGGGCGAGATAGGGCCGTGGATCGAGTGGTCGACGCTGCCTGATGTTGGCTCTGAGGCTCCGTCGGCGGGTATGGCGGACCCCAGGCGGGTGGGGAGAATTCTTTCACCACTGCTCGCACAACTACTCTGGCATGGCCGCACATACCCATCAGTGGATTTGTGTGGTCTGTTATCAAGAGTGGTACCCCGCAATTAATTACTGACTAATATACAGTCGGGGTAGTAACTTTTGGTTGCCGTTGCAACACAAAATTTGTATAGGAACGCCATACAAAATCAGAAACACTCAAATCATGACTTTAAAAATTAGATTGCACACACCTGAAGACTGGACTCAAAATTCCAGAATTCTCTGAGCTTCGTCTTGAGATAATTTTCAACTATCCTTGAAGAGATAGAATTTTTTTGATGAGGTTGGGTGGTTGTTTCGGGTAGTCAAACATGGCTACTTTGGCTGTAAAAGGGGTATATTACCAAAACCTCTGTCCTGATACTATACCTACCACCCATAGTCTGACTTGTAATTACTGCTTAGCGAATAGGAATGCTTCGTAGACAGGTTGGAGAAGACTGTTGTTTGGGCACTCCACAAGAGTCCAATAACTCGTAATTAAGAATGGATTGGAAGAGGCTATTCCAGTATGATTTGGACTCTTTAGCATCATTTACGTCTAGGTACATGCATGTACATCTTCGGGAAGCGTGTATAGTTTAGCCCGATCTGCACGAATAGTAAGAATTCTGCCAAGACTGCGAATTTGTACCATAATATCTTGGCAAGTTTCAATTCTCCTCTCATGATTTCGAACTGTGTAACATCTCCAAACTCTAGAGTACGAATAGAATTTATCAGTACAGAAATTCTCAAGTAGTCAAGAGGTCAATTACACAGAAGTTGCTGACCAATTCTCGTAGTTCCTTGTTCTGAACTCATTTTCACCTTGAACAGGTTTGTCTGATAAGACCCCTGTTAATACATAGAGAGCGCCAAGACCGTTTCCAACCGCTCCTGCACTTTCACTTTCAAGAGCCATGTGGTAAAAGAAACAGCCATAAGCAAAGGCGGAGTCCGGCGGCAGAGTAGCTTGTATACTCACTTCACCTTCCTATCCCTCCATGCCCAGATAATCGGTACCTATATTCAGAATGTACCTAACGATACATGTTGCGGGCGAGCGAATGATCTGCCTGTACTCGTAAATTCATGACGTTTCCGGACACGACTGCTATTGCATACCATATAAAAAGCGCCAAATCCACCTTTTTGTATGTCATGCAATATTGGTCGTGTTCGGAAACGCTATGAACAGACGAGTACAGTGATCTCTTGGCAGGGAAATCACTTATCGGAGTAGATCGCTGCTTCAGGAAGGTAAAGCTAGCAATGTATTGGTGATCAGTGCCGGTGATCACAACATGAGCTCGGGAACTCCTTGATATGTATTGGGCGAAGGGAATAAAAGGCGATCGTGTCCTGCTCTTCTGCGTAAATCTACACACTGTGTCCACCATAGCTGGTTGAGGGAATAGCTATCACGCGTGAGTGAGCAAGCAATTGAGCTTTGATTGATCTGTGAGCGTGCGTATTAATCGAAAATAGTGAGATGAAGGTCAGTAGGCTCAATTGCTTCTCCTAATAGCCCTTTATCTATCGCCGTAGGTTCCCGCAGTGAAAAAAACCCTAAACTAACCACAAACTGGTCTAGTACCTTAATACGTTCTCGTCACTCAGGGGTGCACTAGTACTCGGCCTCACGATCTCTGTAGCAGCAGCCCCAGCACCTGGTAAGATAGGGAAACTCGTAACGTTCGCCGACATCTTCTCCGGAAACTATTCAGTCTCCAGCACTTCTGTACAATGGATCGCCGACTCCAGCGATGGCACATACGTGGTCCAAGATCCCACAACTGGTTCTCTAGTGTTTGCCAACATTGTTACTGGCACCAATGAGACATTTGTGGATGCTGCAGATATAGGGGAGGCGGCTTCTACCTTTTACGACTACTACATTCAGCCGTCGGGGGACAATGTGCTGTTTTCGGCAAACTATACGAAGCAGTACAGATATTCGTTCTTTGCGGACTACTATATATTCAATAGGGCTAGTAAGAGCTTGAAACCGCTTGTAGACGATCAGGTTGGAGATATCCAGTATGCGGGTTGGAATACTAGAGGGGATAGCATTGCGTATGTGAGGGGGAACAATTTGTTCATGTGGGTTAATGGAACTGTCACGCAGATTACAGATGATGGCGGGGTGGACGTCTTCAATGGCGTTCCAGATTGGGTATACGAGGAAGGCAAGTTTCTTTATAGCAATGGGGCCCATTTCTTTGCTATTTGAACCGTACTAATACTGAGTAGAGATTTACGGTGATACAAAGGTTCTCTGGTTCTCACCAGACGGTGAAAATCTTGCATTCCTGCGCTTCAATGAAACAGGCGTACCAACCTACACCATACCCTACTACATGGATTCTCAATCAAAAGCCCCTCCATACCCCAGAGAACTCGAACTTCGGTATCCCAAAGTAGGGGAAACCAATCCCACTGCAACATTTCACCTGCTCGATCTTTCGGACCTTGCAGCTGGTCCCCAGGAAATTGAGTTTGAATCTTTTGCCCCGGAAGATCTACTGATCACGGAGGTTGCTTGGGTCGCCGAAGAACATGAAGCTGTCATCTTCCGCACAATGAACAGAGTTCAGAATCTTGAGAAGTTGATTGTTGTAGATGTTAAAAGCGCCGAGTCGAGTGTAGTCCGGGAGAGAGATGGGACAGATGGGTGGATTGATAACAATCTTGCAATTCAATGTCAGCCCCTTTGTCTGCCTATATTTTACTTGTTGCCAATGAAGCTGACTCGTGTAATAGACATCCCCGGTCTTTCAACTCCCTCGTACATTGATATCTCAGATCATACTGGATATGCCCATCTCTATCTCTATCCCGTTGCTGGCGGCTCCCCAATTGTCCTCACATCTGGAGAATATGAAGTCATCTCGATCGTCAAGGTCGATGTCTCTCGAAATGTCGTTTACTATCTCTCAACCGAGCGTGACTCCACAGAGCGCCACCTATACTCTGTCGGTCTAGATGGAAAAGGCAAAAAGGCTCTCGTAGACACCAACAAAGATGGGTACTGGGCGGCCTCATTCTCGGACGGTGGTGCCTACTACATTCTCTCATACAGAGGCCCTGATTTACCCCATCAGGAGCTGTACTCGGTCAACAACACCAATGTAGCAATCAAGACCATGACTGACAACGCAGCGCTTAAAACAAAGCTAGCTGAATTCAATCTCCCTACTGTATCTTGGAGTACTCTTAAACATCCTGACGGGTACGAACTAAATGTAGTCGAGTATCTTCCCCCTAACTTTGACCCAAAGAAGAAGTATCAGGTCCTCTTTGACATATACGGAGGACCCGGTTCTCAAGAAACCGGCAAGACCTTCCGTCGAAATGTAGGTTGGAGTTCGTACGTCACTAGCGACCCAGAGTTGGAGTATATCATCCTCTCGGTCGACAACCGTGGGACTGGTTTTAAAGGAAGAGCATTCAGGACCCTTGTGAACAGGCAACTCGGAAAGCTAGAGGCACAGGATCAGGTTTGGGCGGCGCAACAGTGGGCCAAAAAGAGTTATGTTGATGAGAAAAAGATTGCGATATGGGGGTGGAGCTTTGGAGGGTATTTGACCAGCAAGGTGCTGGAGCTCGATAGCGGGGTGTTTTCCCTCGGCCTAGTAAGTTTCAAACCTTCTCGCCCCCATAGTTGTATATCTGCTGACACGGCCACAGATCACCGCCCCTGTATCAGACTGGCGTTTCTATGATTCGATGTATACAGAACGCTACATGGGCACCCTTGAAGACAACCAAGCCGGCTACGCAGAGTCCGCTGTCGCCCTACCCGGAGGCTTCAAGAACGTTGCGGGCGGATTCCTAGTCCAGCATGGTACCGGCGATGATAATGTCCATTTCCAGAATAGTGCCGCCCTTGTAGATACCCTGATGGTTGCCGGTGTCTCTCCGGAGAAGATGAGGGTGCAGTGGTTCACGGATAGCGACCACAGCATCAACTTCCATGGAGGGACACCGTTCCTATACAAGCAGCTCGCGAAGGCTCTTTATGAAGAGAAGGAGAGAAAAGAGACTACGAAACATCAATGGAGCCGTAGAGGGGAGTAGAAGGGAGGGACATGAATTAGGTGTATTTTTAGCGTGCTAAAGTAGTCATGAGAAACGAATTGAAGAACGCGTAATACTGTATGGAACAGACATATATCTTTCGCGAGTGACCGTCTATGATAGGTGGTGAGTCAACAATTACAACACTGCCATGAAACCGAGTGATAGGCTGTGACAACGAAACTGTCTTGCTACGTATAACGCCTGTTGTCAACTGTCGAATCCCAACGATACCAATTGTCCCATGATCAAGTATTCAGGACACCGTATGTATGGAGACTCATGTACACCGTCTCCTCCATGCACCGCCAGTCCACATCGTAATCCACTCACTACTCAGTGTCCATGGCCAAACACTTCCCCCAAATCACCGCGGCCGCCACGATTCCGATCCCAACCACACAGCTCGACCCATACCCATCTGCATCCTATCAAGCCCAGTATTCCAAAACACGGGCCAATAAACACCAGGCCGCACCGATTATATTTTTTCTGTGCGCATTCCTTAATCTCCTCGGACCCTGCAGCAGCACCGTACTGGCAGTCGGAGCTTTAAAACGCCAGCTCACTCGGATACATTAGTTACATACGTAGCGGCCGGTACCTGCGTCGGCAGACAGACCAGAAGACATTTATTGTTGAGGCTGGCCGGATAGCTACTCTAAGTAGCGGGTTAAGCTTAAATAGACGGCGGTAGATCGATCTTTGCAGATTGTCGGCAGTGCTTTTTTTTTGGTTTTTGTATTCGAGCTTTGGACTTTGGACTTTGGACTCCCGTACTACCTTTTGGTCTTTGGAACGCACGGTCTTTGGATCTGTGGAGATAAGGTGATTATGAGGATACTCATATACTCTCTTTCGCTCTAGTCTGGTTGACTGATTCTGGGTGTTTCATCTAGACTGCTTTATATATACTATACCGCTAGCTAGCTAGCTAGCCTACTTGCTTGCTATTACAATATCAGAGAGGAAGGAGAATCCCTGCCCTCCATTTACCCGTTATTGAGGAAAAAATGAAAGAAAAGTAATTGCAAATATGTCACCTCCCTCTCACAGAAAAGCACCTCACGGTACGTTAACTCAACTTCCCCTCATTACTTATTAAGCTAGTCTTCCGATGAGCTAAACTAGATTGTCGGTGATCTAGATATGCATCCAACACGGTGGCAGTTTGGATAACAGAGTGTATGATGAGTGTAGTTACGTGATAGCCATCATCGTCATAATCTTCCTTTCGATCGCATGTCTGGCGGCTTTTGCAACGTACAAGCTGCGCACGGTCCTGATGATGGCGATGCGCTCGGCGGATGAGGAGAAGGATAGTAGTGTTAATGGCGTTGTGAGAAATGGAGATGTTGGATGGGCACCGAGGGGAAGTAGATCCGATCCAGGCAGGTAAGGGACTGCAGCTCAGATGATGGTGGTTTTCGTTCCCTTTGTATATTTGGTTTGGTTTCTTTGGGGCGTTCGGGACGGTCTTTTATGATGCAATATCGGTCGATTTATAGATATGACAGCCCCACCAGCACACTGGCTATTTCATTTGTATTTCTACGGGCCGTATTAACATGTAACTTTCGTTCTTTCCTAATACTGAAGACTGATCATATAATTTCGAAACCGCTATTACTGAGGACTATCCAGCTGCGGAACCCTTTCCGCCGAGCCTTTGCACCACGGACCGCCATCCCGATCATCCGGCAAAATCGGGGACGTTCCTGATGGAAGCTTCTGTGCTAGGCCGGGTTCTTTACCCGTTGTACCTTATTGCATGGCGGGGTACTTAGGGAAAATGCTGAAACCAAGAGGATCCATGACCTTCAAACATGCCATTTATTAATTAAGGATTTTGCGGGGAAACGTTTTGTACCTGCGGTGTATGCCGGTGGTTTAGTTATAAAGGAGCGTGATGCTCCTCTCTGCAGAGGATCAATTGCGATATTGCTGATCTGATCTTGAGCTTATATATCCGAGGATCATTGGCTCTCTCGAACTTCTTACCTGTGTATACTTACCTACAGTTCATTACACTCTCCACATCAGACCGTCAACTATCGCCACAATGCGCTTCCTATCCCTCACCCTCCTCCTCCTCACCCTTGCTGTCTATGTCGCCGCCCTCCCCTCATCCCGCAAGGGACAACCACCCTTCCGTCAAGCCAGCCGTACGCCCCCCCCCCCCCCCCCACTCCTGTATCACTTCTTACTAACACCACATAGGCGGCGTCGGGTACCTCGTAGCGCGAGACTCGGAGCAAGCAACGCGCGGAATGCTAGGCTCGTGGGGAGAAAAGTTCTACCAGAAGCCCGTGATGCAGCGCGCGAACGAGTCAAAGTCGGAGGCGCGCCAGGCAAAGATTGATGCGCTGCTGCTGTGCCAGCAGGACTGCACGCGTATCTGGAACCCAGCGCACCCAAGCCAGTTTTGGAGCGATTGTAATGAGTGTTGTAGGAAGATGTGAGTGTTCTGGTTGTTTCTTGTTGGTTGTGGGGTGTGGGGTGTGGGGTGTGGGGTGTTTTCTGACGGTGGTTTGTGGTGGTAGTGGGGATGCAGTTGCGTATTGTTGAAGTGGTTGTGGCAGATAGCGGGCTAGCTGGGTGACTGGACTGGGGGGGGTTGGCGAGATTTTGTGGTGTTTTTTGCTTTGCAGTACGTTTGGGAGGCGGCGTTTTTGACTTAGGGCATGGAATGGAAAATATCTTTGTGGCATCTACTTTTTTTTCAAAATCAAAAGCTTCGTTTTTATTCTTTTTACACACAGATCACCTACTATCGAATTGATAGACCAGCATATCTAGATTTCTACAACTTAATGTGGATGGTATCCTAATAAACGAGTGTGGCGGCAGCCATCCTTTTTTACCGTGGAACACCCAATATCTTGCCTTGTCTGTTACTCTCTCCAAGGAGCTCTATCAACCTTATGACATCGGCGGCCTCCTGCGGCTTTACAACGAGCTGTTTTTCGCCGTTGATGGCCGATACAAGGTTTGAGTAGAACTTGCCGTAGTTGCCCTTCTGCGAGGGCGTCTTTGTGGCAGTGCCATCAGGTGTTATGAATGTACCTGAGTAAAACGTTAGCTTTTTGGTCTGGAAGGAAGAGGTTCTACAGCGGGAGAGTCAAACCATGAATAGATTCGTCTTCGACTCCGAATTCCGCCTCTGTGGGCATCAGCCCTCCCTTGAGCTGGTCTTCTTGCGGGTCGAGATGATACTAATCCACGTTTAGCAAACCCCACCAAAGATCTAACACAAAAAAAACGGCTCACCTTAACCCATCCACCCTCCGATCCTCTGACAATAAACCTCACTTGCCTCTCCCTCAACGACTGCGTCCCCGCCTCCAGCCTCACCACGAACCCCCGTTCGCCCTCCTCCCTCCCGTCATAGTAAAGCGTCGCCTCGAAGAAATCGTCCAGAAACCCGTCCTCTCCCCACGTTGCCTTTGGGTTCACGCTTGCCCCGCGCTCATCACGGATCTGGCCGAATACTCTGGCGGGGAGCCCGAAGAGGGTGAGCGCCTGATCGATGAGATGTGTTCCCAGATCCCATAATGTCCCGTTGCCATACGATTGTTCCCTCTTCCAGGCACGGGCGTCGGACGGGTTGACCTCGATGGCCTTGAAGCGGTCGTAGTGGGATTCGATGGAGACTAGCTTACCGAAGGGCGATGGCGTAGCTGATAGCAGAGCACGGAGGCTGAGGAAGTCGGAATCGAAACGACGGTCTACACATAGTTATTAGTATTGAGCCTAGTCATACGTTGGTGTCAATGACCGGAGGGGCTGTAAATTACTCTGGAACACGGTCAAAGTCTTTCCGACCTTTTCGGCCAGCGCAATAAGCTCGTCGGCCTCCTTTGAAGAAGTTGTGAAGGGCTTCTCCACGACGACATTCTTGCCATTCTCGAGCGCCTCCTTGCAGTACGAGAAGTGGGTGGTGTTGCTGGTGGTTACAATCACCAGGGAAACCTCGCTTGTCTCTGGGGCCGCGTAGAGCTCGGCGGTGGACCTGTAGGCCTTGATGCTGGGGTGGTCCTTTACGGCGGAATTCGTGTCTGTGGGGGAGCGCTGGACAATTGAATGCAGAGCCAGGCCGGGGGTGGTTGTGATGAAGGGGATGTGAAAGGTCGTGGCGGAAAGGCCGTAGCCAAGGATGGCAACGTTGATAGTCATTGATTGGTTTGATTGAGCTTTGAGGCGGAATAATAAAATATGCTGTAGCTGAGGCCGTAGGATTAAAAAGGGATGACTTGTGCGGGGGGATTTTCTTGGGAGCGGGGATCGCGGGGGATTTGGCAAGGGTTTACTAGTTATTAGTGAAGAAGGTTAATAATCCATGACTGACTAAAGTCCAAAACCCTTGTCTTTAAGACTATCCCCGCTTCGCTAAATCTTAATTCCGGATGAGAAACAGTATGTATCTGCACGAATCCGTGAAGTTTGATACGCCAATTCGCCTTGGTTCGGACTTACCACATACATACAAATACGGGGATAGTGGATTATTCGAGAATTAATGGTATGGATTTTATCCAATAGAGTGCCAGGCCAGATTGAAATAAGCGGGACCTAACGAAATATGGAAGTATAAAACATGTAATTAATTCGGAGCTTCTTAGACACGCTTAGATAGAACGTAATGGGCCATGTTCTCACAGAGCACAAGTTTTTAGGGGTGCTGGAGCAGCACTGTGTTTACCGAGAAGTGGCCGACCTCTGGCTACTACTTCATATTCCTTAAGTAGAAGCCATAATAAGTGACAGAGAGTATTTTGGGAATGCTAGTCCCTATAAAAGCACCGAACTTTAGGCATGAGTGATGGTTCGTGACGGAGAATATAGAGTGATCGTTCATGACCCAACTCCTCCTAGATCCTACTTTCACTGGGGCCAGGCTCGGTAGCAAAGCCGTAGGACTTTTCCCAAAGTTTTCCGTCAATTTATTCCGGATTGTCCCCAGAGGTTTGTAAATTTTAGTCGAACATCCCTTGTGCAGCAGTATTGACACAGAAACCCTTCTCAAATCAGCACCAGTATTTCGTCCCCAAAGCTGAACATCGAGGAATGAAGACCAAATGAGTGATATCTCTGGGTTTGATAACCTCCGCCTCATGGCTTATGAGCTTCCATCAATCATCATTCGATGCCCGGGGATCCGGGAAAGGGTATGATGTCTGAGCGAAGGGATTTCCATGAGAGTGACGGTCGATTCGATATTAACAACCGTGGTCGTGGTATCGTTACGTTAGATCTGGCCACCTATTAAACAGGAGTAAGGGGCTTCTTCTATCTCTCGTGAGTTCGGGAACGTGAGGCTGTTCCATCTGTTTCTTCAGCTATCAGCTTGCGGTATTTCTCTCTTTCTCGCTTTCGTCATTGGTCTGCACCTCGTATCTATCGACATCAACCCAGATAACAATAACCACAGGTAATTGCCAAGCCCCCGGCCCTTCGAGGGGCCCGTACTGCATGCAACGCCTGTGACACGTACACCCAAAACACTCCCGAACCGCCTACCATTCAGATACGGACCTTCGGGACATCTTAAGAGCTTGGGCATGTAAGGGAATTTGATGAGAACATTTTTGCTTTTACCTTCTACTTACGTTTTGAATGGCCTGGGCCCCTCTCGGGGACACTGTTAATCGGATGTACGTTACGATTGCATATTATCAGTGCTACGACCTTAACACTTTGAATCCATACGTCTACATTTAAATTCTTGGTCGTATCATCAGCCCTATAGTAACGGTATCTTACTGCTCAAAACTACAAACCTATCAATTAGAGGGGGTGAGCAAAGATATACATGCTCCTCCACCGATCTGGTCACCCCGGCCCGGACCTCAACTTAAGCAGTACATGTAGTCTTATTCTAATCCGCCCTGCGGTCACAGTTCCCAAAAAGAATACCAGTATCAACAACAGACCATATTCAGACCGTCATTCAAATGGCTCAAACGCAGTTTTTAACCCCAACTTTATTCAAATAATCTAGTAATCAGACTGGATTCTACAGGGACTCTCCGTGTGAGCGTGCACACATGTGTCTACGAGGAAGCCATCTATATGAGAGAGCACTAAATTCATTCTGCATACTGTCAAAGAATAATGTACTTCTAAGCTTTCCCAATTTACATACAATGTTTCATTCATTAGCCCCTCCACAAAATTCTTTGCAATAACCAATTCATTATCATAATGATCAATCCTAGCAGCTTTTGCTTCGTACTTCTCTGTGTAAGAAGATATACTGAAATACACACAATTCCGAGTAGTCACCCCATCAAAAGTTTTTATTGGCAGTCTTTTCGTGGTCGATCTTCGTCTTTCACCCTAACTCCCAACCCCCCACCCCCGTTGGATACGGGAGTCCTGCTTTGAGCGCCAGGATCGCTTGGAAATAAAATTACTGTGGAACATAAAGAATTCTATTTTCCCCCGATATTTTAGCTCCGATATACTGCGGCGAGACCTCCGATTATATCTAACTTGGCCATCTAGAGATTCTGTGTTGATTCGTATTAGTACGTAAGCGTGTTTATATATATGAATAAATCTTATTAGATTCAGAAGTCGAGTCATCACAGAAGAACGACCATGTCATACAAGATACGCAGGCTTTGGTTTAGTTAAATCCCTCACTTCGCTCGATTAGTTTCCCTACTAACTGTAAGATTTGAGTCATAACTCCTGACTGCATATTTCTCGAACACTTGTGAATCAACTTATATCGGACATGATCGGATGGTATCTAATTTCAAGAGATGGAAAAAAAAATGTGGACTGAAAGAAAAATGCCCCGAATGCCCCGAATGTTGGAGATCGAGACAGAGGGGTCGCCTGTAGAATTGTATAAAGCTTCCTATAACAGTTTAGCTCAATAATATGTATTTAGCGACCAATTAGTACTGGCTGATTATTCCATGAATCATGAAGCCTTGAGTATCCAGCGCGTCCTTCAGAATAATAGGTGAAATCACCTTAGAATAATTCAACACTGCTTCATTGATTCAATCTGATTGGTACTTCACTAATCGTGGAGTATGATTCGGTTAGAAAGCAGAAGTATTATCCCAATCACAGGGACATTTGGGGTCTAGCCAGCTTACTGGCACCTATGTAGTACTTCATCTCTTAAGAAAATTTAAAAGTCGACCCAGCCTTGATGGCTCAATCTGACCTAGTCGTCTGTCATGATTCATATTTAATGTTATAGATTGCGTGTAGATAGTCATCATAAAGAGCTTAGTAACTATAGAACAAAGATGTACTTATGCATGTATTTACTCCAGGGCCTTAGTTCTTTGTAGTGCACATTGTTTCGTGGGTTTTTAATGTTGACACTCTCGGTTGAGTGACTGCGCCACAGTGACTGCTCCACAAACCCAATTGACAGAGATAAGCGATTAGTACTGGTATGTACCTACATCACAGTAGAGAGATTTTACCCCTCGTATGTACTCAAATGGAGCTCGGGCTATTAACAACCAATCAACTTTCCCCCGTGCATAAAACCTGGCGGGATTAACCTTTCGTGATACACTGATAGATACGCGTATTCCTGGTCCCTTGCATTTCAAGATCCGAAATTGTAACAAGGGCTCATCTTTCCATCAGACTCTTTATATATCCCTCACCCCCCCCCCCCCCCCCCAAATAGACTTTCCCGTAAACCCAACGCCACCAAAGGATTCCTCTCAACGCTCTCCCGAGCCCAGATCCCGAACGGTCAGAAAACAGCCCCAGGAAACTAGAGGATTGAGATCATCTTTCTCAATCCCACCTCACTTTCTTCTCTCGCCTCTTCACCTACCCACACGAGTGGCAGGTGAAACAGGCGATAGGAGAGCTCTCTTCTCCCAGCTTATGAGCAGCAATCTGTGGCGCTACTATCTCGAGAATGACGCCGCAAAGTTCCGGCGTCTTCTGGCACGACCGGGCGGTGGTGGTGTCGCATCCACTGGAATTGGGGTAACCACGACAGCAGCGACATCTTCAAAAAAGTCTGGAGCAAGCGGAAATGGCAGTGGTACAATTACACGTCAGGCGCTACGGGAGCTGGATAGCCTGGGAAGAAATGTATTGCATCTAGCCTGCAGTGATCCTGAGGGGCTTCCATTCGTAGATGCGCTTCTAGAGCACCCGTATACGGACCCTTCAGCACCTGATGCTGAGTCTGGATGGACAGCGATGCATCGTGCACTTTACCATGGGAATATATCAGCTGTTAGGTCAATCCTGGCGCATAATCCGAGTAATTGGGGGATTGTAAAGATCAAAGACCATGCCGGCGACAGTCCATTCGAAGTCTTTGGGGGTTCAATACAAGGAATTGAGCGTCTACTTGCAGAGGAGCGCGGAATAGTTGTTGAAGACCAACAATCGGATGACGATGACAATGATGAAGTGTTGGGGAAGGTTGACAGGTCGGAAACTGCGGGTGGCGACGAGATATTCATGTTTGGGTCGAACAAGAACTTGTCACTCGGGTTTCCGGATGAGGACGATCGATCCTACCCGGAAAGACCGCAGATACAGCGTCCACGGCAGTTACTGCTGGAACAAGCACAGCTCAAGTATTTTAATAGTGATAAGAAATCCGAAGATCTCCTCGACGCATCTACTCTTTTCAGTCCACTACATTTCCGCGATATTCAGCTTTCCAAGCTACACACCGCAGTTCTAACCTCTGATCCACATAGCAATCTATTCATTTGCGGATTCGGTCATGGCGGGCGCTTGGGGTTCGGGGACCAGCAATCCACACAGTTTACACTCCGACCCCTTTCCCCACCGCTTCTGCCTCCCAAGAGAGTTGAGAGTGTTGCTCTAGGGCTTGACCATACCGTTGCTGTTCTTGAGGGTGGCGAGGTGTGGACTTGGGGCGGGAACAAATGGGGCCAACTTGGATATGCCCTCCAGCAAAAGACCACAAAGGAAGATCCAATCCAAACAACTCCACGACAGGTCTTTAACGGCCTGAAGCGAGAGATAGTAATTGGGTGTGCAGCTTCTCGTATACATACTGCCGTGTTCACGGCCACATCGCTATTCACGTTCGGTAAAAACGAGGGGCAGCTAGGGATTCTGGACTCTTCGGATGCTAGAACGCTGGCCAGTCAGCCTACTGCGCGGAAGGTCGCGGCTAGCTTCTTGGCTGGGACTGTAATAACACAGGTTACAGCTATTGACAAAGCCACGGCTGTTTTACTTGAAAATCATGAGGTTTGGATCCTGGCCGGGTATGGATACTCCAGGCTGTCTTTCCCAATTGAGCGGGTGGTGGGATTGTATGGGATGAATATAACACGATACGACAATAAACCAAACTTCATCCGGAAAATCACCGGGGGCGGTGATACTTTGTGCGCGTTGAGTAGAACCGGCGATGCATTCACCCTCGATGTAGAGTCCTGTTTAAAAGAACGCGCAGAAAAGGGAGCTAAGGTTGGATGGACCACAACCAGGGCGTGGAGTTTGCGTAAAACTCACATGGCGGTGCGAGACGCTGATGTGGGAGAGGATGGGTCAATCATCGTTTGCACAGAATCTGGCAGCGTTTGGAAACGGGTCAAGCGGGCTAAGATGAAAGAGAAGGGCTTCGGCACTACCGAGAGTGGACGATATAAGTTCGATAGAGTACCTGGGTTGACGAGGATCATCAGCGTGAAAACCAATAAGTTTGGCGCTTTTGCGGCAATTAGGAGGGACACTGATATCATGAAAGTGGCACTCCTGGTACATCCTCAGATGCTTTGGAGCGATGTCGCCGGATTGCTATCGTTCAGGGGAGCTTTCTTGAAGGACAATAGTGAGGTTGGAGGAGGCGATAATGGCCGTGTATCGGATGCATGGGGCTATGGACCAAAGCCTAGGCCGGAGGGTTATCAGGATGCTGTATTGTGGTTCATGAAGAAGGATATGGAACAAGAACTACGGGACTTCCTGATACGACTTCCATTACGCCGCGGAACGGGAGTAGAGTGGGATATGACCATCTCCACGGATACATGTCATGGCGTTGAAATTCCAATACACAAAGTTCTCCTCATTGCCCGCTCGCCAGTATTTAGAACCCTGTTGGAGGCAGATTCTAGAGAAATTGGACATTTCCTAGAATTTCAACAGAACTCTGGTAACAACCCTCGCTTGATATTGAAAGGTGTGGACCTACTTACCGTGCTTAACTTGGTGTACTACCTTTACATCGACACGGTCATTGACTTATGGCACCAGCGCGGCACCGACGCTGCGCAAACCCAGAAATTCAAAGTTCTTCGGACAGAACTTGCAGCCGTCGCATCAGCTCTTGGGCTGACCCTCCTTGAAAACTCCGTCGGCAGGATGAATTATCCAGCACGCAGTCTTAACAAGGATTTTGAGGTGGCATTGAACACCCAAGAGTTTGTCAGAAGTACTGACTTGATCATCGAACTGGCGAAGAGTGAGAGTATTCGTGTTCACTCGGCCATCATGAAGGCGCGCTGTCCGTTCTTTGATGCTCTTTATGGCGGTGGTGCTGATGGGCGGTGGTTACTTGGGCGTCGTGGAGATGGGGAGGCCATCAAGGTAGATATGAAGCACGTCGGTAAACCGGTCATGGAGGCAGTCGTGACATGGTTGTATACAGATTGGGGCCCAGAAGGGTTTGATGGCGTGAGAGTAGGTGTGAAAGAGAACAAGATAGATGATTATTTGGATTATGTGATGGATGTTATGAGTGTTGCTAATGAGCTTATGCTGGAACGACTGTCGCAAGTATGCCAGAAGGTCTTGGGTAACTATGGTGTGTAGTGGTATCCTATATCTTGAGGGCGAAATGGTATACTGATTTTTTAGTGAACACAAGAAATGCGGCACAGTTGTTGATGGCAGTTTCTGCCTGTTCAGAGACGAGTTTTAAGGATATGTGCATGCAGTACATATGTTTGAATATTGAGACTATGCTGGAAAATCAGTAATTTTCTCATTCGCCTATTTTATATTTATAACAACTAATAATCATAGTCTCTTAGACGATCTTGACGAAGACTTGATGTCTGAGCTTGACGAAGTCATTAAAGACAACCAGCGCCGCTGTCACCCCAAATCTCGAGCGGGCAGACAAGAAGAAATGCTCCTTGGGAAATACCCATCTATGGTCGAGTCTTCTGCAAAAGAGAAGAAAACCTTGATTGCCTTTTATGCCGCACAGGAAGATGAGCCGGCAACGGTACCTGCGCTCAAAAAGGTTGGTAGCTACCCGATAGAAGTATCTTCTCCGCAACAGCTTCCGAATAAGGCGCGTAGAAAATCTAGTAAGGAGGGAAAGATGGCGATAAGCAACTCACCACTGTTGAAGCCTTCAAACGCCGGTGGAGATTTAATGTTCCATATGGATGACGAGGATGCATCACTGAGTGCGGGACGGGGCAACGGGAGCATTCAGATTCCAAGCCCTCCGTCGAGTCTTCCGAAGCCTGATGAAGGAATTTGGTTCAATTCCAAGGGCAAAGCAATCGCTTCGCCGCAGTCCCAAAACGCGCGTCAACCAGCCCTTGACCCAATCGTGACACCCAAATCGTTTCCGAAACATACTCCGCTCACCCCAGAAGGTCCAGCTTCAAAATCATGGCGTGCAACGATGATGCCGGACAAGTTGCCATTGAAGGAAATCTTAGGTCACGCTTCCCCGAGTACTGGAAAGTCCAATATCACATTAGGATTGTCATCTTCGACACCAGAAAAAATATCACAGAAAGAGCGAAAACGGCAGCAACAACTACAGAGTCAACAACCAGCTGGGCCTGAGATCGCTTTGACGCCCGAAAAGCCGATGCCGAAGATGTGGCAAACACCAACCGCCGTATCCAGAGTGAGCTTGAAGGAAGTTCTGATGGAGGAGTCTTCGCCCACAACATCCCGAGCCACTGCCGCTCGCCCTGGCTCCTCGAGGGCCGAAATACAGAGAACTATGTCCACGCCTCCACAATCAATAATGAGTGCATCGACCCAGGCAAATATACCTGTGTCTCCATCGCCAACCCTTCGTAAATCAACACCGCAGAAAACCCCTTCTACCTCAACTACGGCGCAAGCCCAACCCCAATCGGCATCGGCTTTCGTTCCTCCAACCCCTTCTCCTCGTTTGCAGCGTTCTGAAGCGACATTGCATCTCTCTCTTGCAGATATTATGTCTCAGGAGGAGGTTCATAAGGAGATCATGAGGGATCATGTTGCAAAGCGTAGCTTACAGGAGATACAGGCAGAGCAAGAATTCCTAAGATGGTGGGAGGCGGAGAGCGAGAAAGTGAAATTGGAAGCGGAGAAAGCGGAACAGGCGTCTACTAGAGAGAGTGGGCGAAGTAGGGGAGGTAGCAGAGGTAGTAGAGGTGGAGGTGAGAATGGTCCGAAGAGAGGTGGACGAAGAGGGCGCGGAGGGGGCGGAGGAGAGGGCGGAAGAGGTAGGAGGAGTAAAGGCGAATCAAGTAGAGGCGCAGCAGTAGTAGCAGGGCAAGGGAGCTGATAAAGAAAAAAAAATATGTCTATAGAATAGGCATAGCTAAAAGTTTAAAATTTATGTTTTTGCTACGAAAACCATCTGAGTAAAAGACTCCAGGAAAATTGGCGCTCATATCGTATGAGATTTTAGAAAGGCTTGACATGGCTAGCGAGATCCGGATCAGAGGCTATGTACACCCGCAGGAAAAAAGTGAGGAAACAACGAGTGCAACCAATCCGAACCCCAATGAAAAAGTGAAAATGGAAATGAATAGAAGTAATATGACTACACAATGAGATACAGAATAGATACTACGGCCTCTGAACTATATTTACCACTTTTTATGACTTGCCTTGTTCTTTACTACTGCTGCAATTCTCTTTGGTATGCTGTCAATGATTTTATATACATTTTCCCAATCTAGCCTTTCCCACTCTTCCCTAGCTTGGGCTTCAATAACTTTTATGTTTTCATTCAGAGTAGCCTCCCTTCGCTTTCCGGACTTGTCAAAAGGCATGGCTAGGGAATACTCGCGGGGCTGTATTGCGGGTGCGGGGATGTCAAGTTAGACGCACTCGTTGTCACGCTACTCGTTGTTTCCTCACTTTTTTCCTGCGGGTGTACAACGAGCATTGACAAAATCCCTACCAAATACAAATATTTTATCTACAGTATACATGTAATCGTCTTCATCATCATGAAATATTTTCATTAGTTGCAATTGATTATACCAGAAAGGAGATAAAGAATTACCCCAGGGCCAGCATCCCTAAAGCATGCGCACCTATATACGTGCACATACAGGTAGACAGGTCAGCGTCGAAGAGCAAACCTTATAAAGCTACAGCCTGATGCTTTGGAGAAATAACATCTCTTTTTTCAGTTTTAATAGGAAAGAACCGATGAGGATTTCGGAAAGCGGAAATAGGTCAATGATTAAGAGCAATTTTATGAGGGCTTGGCTCACAGCTGCTCACTCGATTTCTCAAAACACATGTGTCCGTCACTTTTTTTTGTTTTTGTTTAATTCATTAATTGTATGCAGCCCTTAAGCTATGACAATATCGCACTACCCCAGAACTACCCTACTAACCTCCTCCGCCTCTATGTGCCCGTCACTACATATCAGTGAATGGTGGAAGCTGCTGGGTATATACTACCAAAAGTTATATAGAGTATAGGTATATAAAGACCTCTCTATCGCATAGTAGTCAACTAAGAGATCAAGTCTCGTACACGTCATATTGATATTGTCTCACTTTACCTACACACTTCCGTACCTGCAAACAACGTGGATAACTTCCCTAACACTGGAAGTATACATATATTCATCTCTAGGACGTTGGCGGGATGCGATGACGAATGACCAGCCAGAAAAGCGGGAGCCAGTCCAAAAAAAGGGTGGTGCGTCAAATGCCCGTTCCAACCAAGTTTCACTAATAAGCCGTAAGAGACGCTATCCACCTGGCCCTGATTGCGTTTCAATTGTGTCTCATGCTTTATATCGGAATTGTAGTAGAAGAGACATGTCTGCACATGCGCCCACAGTATGTAGTTCAATATAGGGCATAAGTACATGTTATGTACGTACTTACTGAGCTCTTACACTACACCTAGCGGTGATTCAAAGGTAACGTGAATAGTCACAGTTGTACTATCATAGGAAATATTCTGTCTTATATCCGGTTTCGGTGATGCGTTAATGATCTACAGGCACTCTGTGGCTTGACGCGCCACATCTAACCTATTCTAGATAATTGTGGCGGTGTTTGTTTGTTGTCAGGGAAACCTCGCGATAAGTTACTCACCTAGCAAAGTTGGGGACATCCTTCCGATAACGTTTGTTATCTTCCTAATCTCCTCTCACAAACATCACCATTTCCATATTCTCATAAGATAACCTCAATCATGAGCTCTCCCCCTGACCTACCTCCCTCCCGTAAGCCCTCCTCAACCCAGAATGCTGCGGCTGGACCTTACGGGCCCAGGAATAATCTCAATTCAACTCACGAACCATCTTTCCTAGATGGCGTGGACAAGACACTTGAAACACCAAAATTTGGAACTACTCCCAGATTATTCGACTCTACACCAAAATATGACTCTACACCGAAATTTGGGTCGACGACGCCCATGAAGTCTAACTTGGGTCCAATTCCCTACCGAAACCCTCAGGATCCTGTAAGGACTCAACGTAAGTTCGTCTAGCTAGTAGGCTTTATATATGTACATCAATTACAATCCTAACTTGTTGTTAAGAGGCTCCAAAACCTTTCATATCAAAGGTTCAAGCCCGTACCGAAGAATTCCTTCAGCCTTTGCCACTGAAAAACTCCCGTGAGAACTGGAGACACCCTCCCACTATCGATTTAACAAACAAATCCGATGATGACGACGAGCTTGTTGTCATCCAACGCCCCCAAGCATTTCCTACGTTTCATTCTGTTAACCGTAGGAACGATATTGGATCAGGGATCACGGGTGGATTTCCTTCGGAGGGTGGTCGGAAGAAGCTACCTACATATTCTATTCCTAGCGGTGGTGCAGTGCCAGGTACCAGTGGAACATATCATGGCGGAGTTTATGTAGACCACGAGAAGACCACCGAAAGCATCAAGGAATTATTGGAGGGGATTAATGATTCAGTTCCTCTCAGGAAGAAGAAGGGCAAAAAAGAAAAGAAGGTTGATGATGAACTAGCTTCTATGATGGAAGAAAAGGTTACATTGGGTGAGGGGTTGCAGGGGGAAGCCGAACAAGAAGAGGAGGAGGATGAAGACGAAGAAGAGGAAGGCTCTGATGTAGTTGAGGGTTTGAACGTCAAATTACTTCCGCATCAAATCCGAGGATTGAAATTTCTTCGTGGTAGAGAAGAAGGAAAGGCAAGAGGTGGGATATTGGCTGATGATGTATGGATCCTCGTTTGTATACCTATTGATTTCTGCTAAACTAACTATATACAGATGGGCTTGGGAAAAACAATACAAACTATTTCCCTTATACTCTGTCATACACATCCTTCGCATCCAATCGCCGGGAATTCTTCCCTCTCCCCAGACTCTAAAAAAGCAGCCGTAAAACTTCCGTCCGACCTCGAGAAAGGGACTCTTGTTATTGCACCTTTGGCTTTGATAAAGCAATGGGAAGCTGAAATTGAAAGACGCACCGAAGATTCTCACAAAATGCGTGTTCGCGTCCATCACGGCCCATCACGGGCCAAAGACCCGGCTTTACTACGGAAATACGATGTCGTTATTACCACATATGATGTCATTCGTTCTGAGCATAAGGATACCGAAGGAAATGGAAGACCCGTTGGATGTTTTGGGCTACGTTGGTGGAGGATTGTGCTCGATGAAGCGCACACAATCAAAAATAGACTTGCGAAAGGATCATTGGCATGCTGTGCTCTCCGGGCAAGATTTAGGTGGTGCCTTACAGGCACACCTTTGCAAAACAAGATCGAAGAATTGCAGAGTCTAATCAAGTTCCTAAAGGTTGCGCCTTTCGATGACCTTGGTGTGTGGAAAGAGCAGATCGCAAGACCTATGGGTCAAGGACGTGAAGGGGTAGCTATTGAACGACTCAGAGTGGTATTGGGCGCTATTATGTTGAGGAGAACTAAAGACGTGCTGAGGTCAGATGGTGATAAGCTAGAGGCTGCAGGTGGTGAAAACAAGATGAAGATGGTTAAGAGGAAGGTTGAGAGTGTAGTGACTGAATTCGATGAAAAAGAGAAAGAGTTTTACGAAAAATTGGAAGCAAGGACGGAGGAGAATCTTGAGAAGATGCTCAGCGGGTTCGGTGTTGGTAGAGGGTTAGGGGGTGTCAATATGACGAGCGCTTTGCTCCTGCTTCTAAGATTACGACAAGGTATGTTCTCGCCAACTAGAGTTAATATCTCCCAAACTAATACATGCAGCCTGTAACCATCCAACTCTCGTTGCTGGGAAAATTGTTAAGGACAAGGATTCTGGGCTTGGTCTAACTACACCACGGAAGAAAGCACCGAAATCATTAGTGCAGGACGAAGCTCTGGATGATGATCTTGCAGGCCTAATTGGTGGACTAAGTGTCGACGCCAGGAAATGTGATGTTTGTTTCTCAGCATTGACTAAGGAGGAGACACGAAAGGGAGAACCTAGGTGTAGGGATTGCAGAGAAGATCTCAAGGCGCTAGAGAAGGCATCAAGAGAAGGTGGAGAGGAAACCATAAAGAAAGATGGTAATGTGAAGAACAAAAGAGGCAGATTAGTGGTTCTTGACAGCGATGATGAAGATGAAGAGGACGATGGCGACTACGGCAACGGTACCAGGGAGGAAAGGGGAAAAACGCTTATAAACGATGACGACGACGAAGGAAGCCAAGCAGAAGAGGTGGACGATGATGAAGATGAGGATGATGAAGATACGAAACCCCGGCATTACGATAGCGAGGACGATGGAGGCAGCCAGGCAGAAGAAGGGACCGACACATCAGATGATGATGGTCCAATCAAGCCGAAAACACGACGACGCCCCAGAGTTGTCGATTCATTCATCGACGATGATGAGGATGAGGATGAGGATTACTCGGAGGAAGATGAATATTCTAACCTTGTCATATCAACGAAAATCAAGCGGCTCTTACAAATTCTTAAGAAAGAGTTGAAAGAAGACAACAAAACAATCGTGTTTAGTCAGTTTACAAGTATGCTGGACCTAATCGAACCCTTCCTCCACAGGGAGGGTATTGCGTTTGCAAGATACGATGGGAGTATGAAGAATGATGATCGTGAGGCCAGTCTGCGAAGGTTGAGGGGAGAGGGCGAGTACGCAAATAAGAAAGGAGTAGAAAAGGAATTCTGTGGCGTACTTCTGTGCAGTTTGAAATGCGGGGCCCTAGGTCTAAACCTCATCGCTGCTTGTAGGGTGGTTATATTGGAACCGTTCTGGAATCCTGTTAGTACACATACCCATTTGATCAACCATACTAGCACTAACTTATCTTTCTGGGTTTAGTTCATTGAGGAGCAAGCTATCGATCGTGTCCATCGTATTGGTCAGATGACAGATGTAGTTGTCTACAAGCTCACTGTCGCTAACTCTGTTGAGGAACGTATCTTGAAGCTTCAAGAGCAAAAAAGAGACCTTGCCAAAGCTGCATTTGGAGATGGAGATGGTGGACTTGGAAAGGCAAAGGCTGCGAAGCTGAGCATGAAAGATATTCTATATCTTTTCAGGCGCGATGCAGAGACGGCCTCAGGACCCGGGTCAGCTTCCACGGTGGGATTAGGAAGTAGGGCAAGAGTCCTCAAGGATAGGGTTAGTGATGATAGGGAGAGGGAGAGGGAGAGGGGTGTGGGGTACAGTCGTGAAGTCCCAGGAAGATATACTAATACCGAAACTGAGGAACAGCGTCAGAGGAGGAGAGCGGCAGAAGCAAATAATGCTTTTGGAAGGCGATAAATGTCACTACGAGAGATTGACTTCAACTTCCTTTTTAGTGGGATTAAAAAAATAGGCTAGTACTGTTACTGTAGAGAGTATTAGTAGTTAGAGTATCATTATTTTGAGTTCATTCCGTTGTCAACGGGCAGGGATAAACGTATTTCCAAATTTGATATATTATTTATTTGTTGTATTTACTCGATGCTATTAAGCCCTGATGGTCTAGCGGTATGATTCCTGCTTTGGGTTAGCTTAAATGCAGGAGGTCTCCGGTTCAATCCCGGATTAGGGCCCGTTATCTCTTTTTACTCTACTTGTTTACTCAATTATGACTCGAGGAGTCATGAAACATCACCAAACATTTTAATGTGTCGCCAAAACGGTCTTTTTAGTACTCAAGTTGCAACAGCTTGGCAGTATTGAGAGAGCGGCAGCATAGCTCCCAGAAAGGGGCGAAAGAATTTCATCTGACAGAAAGAATCGCACAAAAGGGAAGTATCATTTGATCAGAAGCAAACTTGGAATGAGAGGGTTGAGATGTTCTACTCTCGGATCACCCATACAAAATCGCCTTAGTGAGTCTCGATCCATAGTAATTATTAAACACTATTCAAGAATTACGGCTCGTCCTCTCCAAGTGCTCGAAGTCGGGCTCTCAAGCCGCTGCGCAGTTTTCCTTTCTCGCACATTTACATAGCTTTGCGGCTGAGCCGCTCTCACTGAATATGGTTTGGATATTAATTGAGACTTAATAGTTTCGCTACCCAGGTCGAAGTGATTTTGTCCCAGACTCATAGCAATCATTTTAATTGGTTTGAGAGAGCACAAAGCACAACGATGACTAAGCAATGCGGGCTTGATCCTCATGTCAATGATTTATGATACTCTGGACAATGATAATAATATCACATCTGTTAATCTCTAAACCCGTTTCTACCGCCTATATAATGACTTGTTAATGTGCATACAAGCGAGGTCTCAGTTGGATCGTGGTATCTTATTATTACATGAATGTGTATTGTAGTAGTACATACATAAAGGAAGTGTTATCCGCCATTAAAAAGGGTATTTTTATGAAAAAACAAAGGAAAAGAGGGGCCTTGAAAAGGCGTACAAAGTATACTGCCAACTATATTTTTTTTTCTTTTTTTTCTTTTCACTTCTTCGCTACCTTCTTGCCCCGTTTCAGCATCTTCTTCAAACCACCTAAGTATAACCAAGTGCAAATGAATACGACCGCAAAATTAAAGACTATGAAAGCCCAGAAAATACCAAAATTTCTCCAGTGATAGCTATAATAGATATTAAAGTTTCTTGCCTAAAATATGCATGTTAGTATAATAAAAACAAGCGCCACTGTGGTTGTAATTATGGAAAGAAAACTTACGAATTCATCTCCATCAGAATATTGGCAAAACCTGCACTCATTCCCAACCTCCTGAACATACCCTCCAGCTTGCCTAATAAATGCAGTAGTATAGTTCTCACACGATTGCCCAGGTGGTTTCGGGATCCTCGCCAATTCGTTTTCAGAACATCTAACAGGCACGTCGTGGACGAGGACACCCAAGAAGCCTTCGACTAGGTAGGTAAATGGGCTGACGCGATATACGAAATGCCAGAATTTTGGAATACCAGCAAACGGTACGACAACACCACAGAATGAAACGACGAAGAGGAAAAATACCGGCACAAGCAAACTGGCAAGGAGTTCGTTCGGCGAAAACGAGGCGATAGCTTGACCAAAGCCGACATAGTATAGTTCAAACCTATTGTATCGTTAGCTCTGTGGTTCTCCAAACACGCTGTAGACAATGAAATAACTAGGTCAAACTTACAGCATTAGTAGCATCCACGTGTACCCAACAGTAAAACTATCTCTTGGGAACCCGACAGGAAAAAACCAGGAAACAAAAAACAGAGTTCCAGCTACAATCGAGTAGGGTATTTCTACTAGAATAGCAGCGATTACAAAGGCGGACCAGTGATAGATTTTTGAAGAGCTTTCTCGGGCCATGAAAAGATCCCTTAAATGCAAATATTTCGGCTGCAACTGTTGAATAAGTGGTGGGGATATGGTGAGCACCATGAACACACTGAAGAGTCGAGATTGCATATCGATCGAAGTATTTCCAAGCTTGTAGAAAGTAAAGGCATTGAAAAGACCTGTGAAAATGTGGAGTGCAAACTTTCCAATGACGTATTCCGGTGCTCTCCAGTACGACACAAACGTTCTTTTCACAACCGCCAAAACCTGTGTGAACCAAGGCATAGCGAACTCGCGGTCATCTCGTGTTGAAGAATCGGCTTTAGAACGTCGATCCGAAACAATTTGTTCAATTTCACGTGCCCGCTCGCTGTATTCGTTGGAGTTTGACCAGACTTCACCCCAGTCCTTCTCCTTCCGATTGGGATCTCCAGCACCAATTGCTTCGAGCATATATTCCGCAGGGTTTTTATCCTTAGGGCACTTAGGCGCGCCGTTGCCTTCGAAATACTTGATCATCTTTTGAGAATCCTGCCCAAGCTCTCCGTGATAGACAACGCGTCCACCCTTCTTCAGAAGAATCAAATCGTCAAAATTCTCAAAAAGGACTGCACTCGGTTGATGAATGGTGCAAAGAATGGCCTGGCCCGAATCCGCAAGCTTCCTCAAAAATCGTATCACATTAAACGCCGCATTCGAGTCAAGACCTGAAGTTGGCTGCGATATTATTAGAATGTGGCCTTTGTCCGCAATGTACCTGCTGATGGCTTACCTCGTCGAGAAACATGAGAAGTTCCGGTTTACTCGCAAGTTCCACACCAATAGTCAACCGCTTTCTCTGCTCTTGGTTCAAGCCATTGCCCTGAGTTCCAACTGTGGCCCCTGCGAGCTCGTCCATCTCAAGAAGATGAATTATTTTCTAGACCCAATTAGCTCGTATTCCTTTTTATCTCCCACTTTATTGGGTGCATACTTCGACATAATCATACTTCTCCTCAGTAGATACCTCCTTTGGCTGTCTTAGTAAAGCAGAGAACCGTAAGGCTTCTCTTACAGTCGCAGTCGGCTCGTGAACATCCTGTTGTTCCGCAAAACCAGTAGCGCGAGCAAATGAGAGAGGAAGAGGCTGGCCATCAACTAGGAAAGCGCCTTCAACCACACCAAAGTTGATGCGCTGAGCCAAAGTATTGCTGATATTTCGTTAGTAAGTTTTTGGTAAAAAGGTATAAGAATCATACAGAAGAGTGGTTTTTCCGGCGCCTGATTCTCCCATCAAGGCAGTGAGTCTCCCAGGTTTAACATATCCTTGGACATCCTGTAAAAGTGTCCTGTGTCCATTTTTAACTGGAATAGTATATGTAACTCCCTGCCAGGTAAAAATTGTATCATTCTTTGCGACTGCAGCCTCCTCGGTGCGATTATTACTTTCCTCATTGCCGATCCTGCCAACTTCTTTCTCTGCAACCTCTTCATCCACGGAGTTACCCTTATTCATAGCATTCTCAACATGCGTTGGCGCTTGTCCTCTCTTGAATACAGTGACAGCTCCTCCACCCTTATTCGGCTTCTTCAATTCCAAACCCACTGCTGTCATAAAAACGAAGAAAAGCCAAAATGCTATGATAAATCCGACGTTTCTCCATAAGTGTGATCTTGAATAGGTAAACTGCGATTGTATGTAATCTGCACCGTTCACAGTGGTGGATCCGGGCCGACCGCCTTGCAAAAGACAAGATTGATACTGTGGCTGAACACCGGGACCAACTGGTACCAGATACGGCGGCACACACTCGATCTCCAGATTGTAGAACTCATTGGCCATGAGAGCCTCAAATCCATACTGAATAGGATTGATCCACCTTATCCAAGAGAACCATGGATGCATAGATGAGGGCGGGATAAGATAGCCTATGACAACGTGAGCATAGCTAATTCCATATCAGCATACTGGATCGCCTTACCTGTGTAGACAACCAATGCTTGAATTGAGACGCCAGTGATCCTAGTAGCAGCATCCAAATTTGAAGAGAATGCCCCAAGCATTCTAAAAAACGAATACATCGACAGTGTAACGAAGAATATAATCAATAAACTAATGAAAAATTGGGACGCGGTGCGTTGCAATCCGGCCATGAAGTAAATGACTATGTTCCATATGAAAACCTGAACAAAGCAGAGGGGTAAATCAACAAGGACCAAAGCTATGGCATATGCGGATGGGCGATAAAATGAGCTATAAACTTTGTCAGTATATATTATGTAGTTTTATAGTTCTTTGAAAGATAGGATCATACAAGCTCTTATGTTTCATCAAGATCGGAATAGAATCGAACGCCGCCGTGAGTTCTGCTAGAGCTAGCAAGGCGTTGAATAAAAGGGTAAAAAACTGTTTTCAATGAGTCCAAGCCGTGTGGAGTCAGAAAAGTCACAACTTACCAGGACACCTCCGCGAGGGAACACTCCGGCCGCATTCTTAGGCAAATTATAAAACAGAGACCCAACGATTAAACTTTGAAACAGAATTCCTCCCCATTTACCCCCCAAACTCAGTGGGTCACCTCTCATCACCTTAACCTGTCGCTTTGTGCAAGCGATAATCTGTTTAGGAAATGAAATGGTGTAATTTTTGGTTTTAGTTTCCTTAGACATCTCCTTACTCCTTTCTTTCTTTTGCTCCTCGAGAGTACTTTCGAACTCTTCGATATCTCTCCTAGTATGCGCAGCAACCTCAGACGCAACATATGCAGCTTCTAGTTCCTCTGCTGTACGTGGGACTCTATCTTCCCACCCCTCTTTGATTTGTCGCTCGTGTTTGTCGGTGACAGAGGTCAGGAAATCTGCAGTTGTCCATCGAGGGTGACAAACGAAACCCAAACTCTCAAAATGGGCCTTCGCATTCTCGGTAGGTCCAAAGTAAGCACACCTCCCTTCATCAATAAGGATGACTTTGTCGAAAAGTTTATATAAACTCTCCCCTGCCTGGTATAGTGCAACCAGGGTGGAAATGTTTGCCATGTTACTCAAAGTGCGAAGCGATTCCACATATTCTATTGCCGTGCTGGCATCTAGTCCTTTAGTGGAATTGTCCCAACATTGGCAAGAGGCTTTAGTGACTATTGCCTCTGCAATAGAAACTCGTTTCTTTTCACCACCAGAGACACCACGGATAAGTTCGTTCCCTACTTTTGTGTCAAGGGTGTGTTCAATCCAAAATAGTTTGCTGACGACACGAAGAAATTCGTTGACATAGTCTTTTCGAGTCTCGCCCTCCTGCCGGGAAGCCTTCCCTGGCGTACGCGTCTCAAGAGCGAACTTTAGGGTTTCCTTTACAGTTAATGTAGCATAATGTAGATCTAATAAAAATAAGTTAGAGGCATGCTCCTATTGATAATATCTCATGATAATACCTTCTTCAGGATTGTAGAGGACTTCGCCACGAAACCTTTTGGCCATCTCGCTGCTCTCAACTCCACCATAAAGAACGTCGCCCGAAATACTCTCATAGCCATTTCTCTGGTTACCGACAACCTTCAAAAATGTCGAGCAACCTTTTATCATTGTTAGTGCGTAATTCAGTCACTTATCAGTACGGGTTGTGCTCACCAGATCCTGGCCTCCCTAATACTAACAACATCTCACCAGGTCTAACGCATCCTGTAAAACTATTGAGCAAAGTCCTGATTGGTGGCTTCCCAAATCCAGCCTTAGAACCCTTAGAAAGAAGCCCCCAGAGTGCCCTGAAAGGACCCAAAAGTAGCCCTCCATTGGTTGGCTGGATGCTGGCCCCTAATCCTTGGCCCTTTACGGTCAAGTTCTTAAAGACAACACCAAGATGACGAGTTTTCTCTTCCTGAGAATCGCTTTTACGAGAACTTCCGAATATAGATGAAAGAAGCTGCTCAATTTCTTGTTTAGATTCCTGCAACTCTTCATGATGCGAGGAGGCGTTAGTTCTCCGCCGTGAGAGAATGCGAAAGATTTCTTCTTCCCCAGTTGCTGGTCCTACTTGTGTGGACTCTCTACGAGCGGGTGCTGGACGGATGGGCTGTGTGGTGGTCATGTTTGCAAGGTCATGAAGACTACTAGATGCACTAGAATAGTTTGTGGGATCATTTCCCTTTGTTTCTGTCCCGGAATAATCATTCACAATTGTTTGATCTGACCCGGTTTGATTTGAATGCCGCCGAGTATCCTCGTTAAGTGTAATAGGTGCTAAACCGGCCTCTAAATCGGAATCTGCTGCGAGGGATCCCGCCTCCGGGAAGGAGTAATTCTGTGTATTAGAAACCCCGGGGGTCGAAGGCCAACGACCTGGTATTCCTTTTGGTGTAGGAAGCGCAGCCATGCCGTGTTGTTGGATTCTACAGCAGCAGCAGCAACGGCCGTAGATGAATATATTATGGGGATAAAGAGGGAATAGTAGTGGTGTACACTATTGATTTACAAGAAAAGGATTCGGTGGCCTCATAGTCTCTATTATACTCAGAGCCTTGATGTCCATATTGCACGTGAGAGCCCAGAGCAGTCTAAAAAAGAGGTTAATTGGATACAACAAGGGCAGCGCAAGGGTTCACACACAAGAGCCACTGGACATCAACCTCTATGCAGATTTTCGTTAACATAAACGTCATGACTTTTGAAGAAAAATAGTAAGCGCATTTGTGGAACCTGTTGATAGCGACTAACTTTGCGATTGTTGTTATTAGTCCCAATAATCCAGATCGGCAACTAAAGCGGCTACTTCAAGGACGAATTCGGGTTGATCCAGCAGAACTTGGTGCTGATTGGCTGTAACCCGCAACCAATCCTTACAAGCAGGTAGTAGATCTTGTACCCTAGATGAGATGGAGTCGGAAAAATAATCTCCCCGTGTTTCGGTATTAACGCGTCCGATTTGGGCGAAGAATGGGCTGCGTCATAACTACATACAGGACTTTTCTTTGTTCCTGATCACGAATCTCGATAAGACTACTTTACCTACTCGCGCGAGAGGTATATTGCGCAACGGATGGGTAGATTCTCGGCCGACAGTTGACAGCACCGGTGTAGCTTTTAGGCCTTTTCAAATGTAGTACATGTACTCTAGCAAGCCACTACCAGTAGTAGCCCGTTCTAGTAGGCAAGGTACGGCACGTAGGCTCAATCATCTTTTGCACTGTGCATGTAGGGTTTTCTACAGGCATGCCATGCGCGAGTACATGTCAACTTTTCTCTCGATTGAAATTTTTCAAAAAAAATATTGCCTTATGGATTACCACATGTATTCATGATAAAAGCACAAATGGGCAAATACAGTATTGTACTGCATTACATATCTCCAATTAAGGGTTTAAGTATCTCCGGCACAATCTAGTGCCCACATATATCAGAGATTTTCAAACTTCATGATCATATGATAATATGATGGGAAGCTCGTATACATACCTTAGCTGCATCCCCTTCAAATACCCAGTCAAACGCATTGCTACTCCAGCCGCCTTTGCTTACATCAAGGTCGACAATCGCGACTTTACCTCCTAACTCTTTAACTCTCTGTGCATATCTATTGAGTTTCGAAGGTAGTCAGCTTGCATATAAAAACATATGCCAAGGCCCAAAGGGAAGACGTCTAGGTAGAAAGAACACACCCTGCAGCTGGATATACCAATCCACTGGTTCCTATAACAATGCAGAGATCAGCCGGTTGTTCCAGCCAATGTTCGATCCCGTCCATCATATCTGGATCAAGGTGCTCGCCAAACCACACGACTCCTGGTCGTAGGATATTTCGTTGACCTGCTCACATGTTTGTTATTAATTCGTTGGATATAAAGATGGAGGCGGCCCCATTACTTACATTTTGGGCACATGGGCAAATCTGAGAGCTGTAAGGCCTGAAGTTCTACGCTTTCGTCGTACACAAGGGTTTCTTTGGTTGGGGTTCCACCGTCTGACTGTCCGCTGGCAGGTCCTGGTGCTCTTTGTTCAACCGTCTTTTTCGCCATAGGCACCGCAAGTGAGGGAACAATTGGATCGACAAAGTTCTGATCGTCCACATAATCACAGAGATACCCAGAACATCTGAGCGCAAACAAAGATCCATGAAGATAACGAATCGAATCATTCGGATGATTGGCCCTTACCGAAAGCCCTGTTGGACAGCATGACAATTAAATTATTTGATTAATCCTGTGATAGTAATATAACACCATCTTTCGTTATACGTATGGACTTACCGTCTACGTTTTGTGTCAAAGTCAAAAACGCCGGATGTTTTCTCGCCAATTCTGCCAATGCATAATGCGCTTTGTTCGGTGCGACTTGCAATGCCATATGTCTGCGCATTGAGTAGAACTAATATCACCAGAATATGAGATAGAGTTCTCGGCAGTAAACATGCAAGCTTCCACACCTGCCACACTAATCCAGGATCCGTCCTGAATGCCTCAGGCGTCGCAAGGCGCGTAACATCATAACTCCTCCACATACCGCCGGCACCACGGAAGGTGGGCAGTCCCGAGGATGCTGAGAGACCAGCACCACATAAAGCGACAATACGGTGTGCAGAAGAGAGATAAGTATGGAAGGAAGCGACGTCGGTGGAAGGAGGCATATCTAGAGCTGATTGATGCTGTAACTAAGAACTAAGTGCTAAAGTGGGGTTAGACATGCACTCGGTTATCATTACCGACTCGCCAATCTCGTTCATAATAATTCTTGCCAAGAAATATCACGAACAGCTTAGATAAGGTTAAAGGTCAATTATTAGTGGACGAACTCAATTGATCGAAAATCGTAGCACTCCCAGCAAAATGCCCCACGCAAGCCCCGAAAAGAAACTAGGAACTGACAAGCTCATTCAAGCATTTACACATATAGTACACGTACATGCATATCAACAGATCCTCAAATTGTAACGTTTCATAGTGCAATATACATGTAATTTGCCACTTCATTCTCACATACATGCATACATGTATGTACTGCATGTACTTCAGTCAAGAAGAAAAAGGCAGGTCCACAAGGATGAGGTTTTATGAGATCAAAATATAATCCTCCATTTTCCAATTGTTTAGAGAAGCCAGTCTTCAAACTCGAGCAATCTCATAAAATCAAACTAACTATTACAGCCGCGAGATCTTAGCTAGACTTTAGGTCTGCAGAGGAGGTGAGAAAGTGAAGAGCTTGATCTCATATCAAAGAAACTTCAGATTGTGGTATAAAACTTCATTATTACTAATCTTTGCAAACATAGGGATTGGTCTGCTTGGAAGCGACTAAACTATACCCTCAGTTAGACGTGGATATTCAGGATTCTGGTTCTAAAAGCTCCAAATAGCGTTGTGTTAAAGAAATCTCTTACCACTAGTTATCTCTTACAGTGGTACTGTAATTTCAAAGCCCTAAGTACTCCTCCGACACATTCCACCACACAATGGTTTCGGCAATTTACCCTAGACTCCGTTTTCGTACCGACACTTCCATGCGATTTTGTGTCAAAGCATCATCCCATTGCCCAACCTACATCCCAGCGTTTCCCCACCTCCTTCACAAAGGTTGACAGAACTTCATCCAAGCCTACTCTGTCTGATGGATTGACTCTCACACAAGCCTCGACGATTTCTCGCCATTTCAGGGGAATCGGCCCGCACTGCGTCCAACTTTCACTCTCTGTCCAGGTTATCGGGATATCTTCTCCATCTTTCAGGGTTTCGAGAGGGATCTGCTCAAATAGGAGCCATAGCATAATTCCGACAGAGTATGTTTCAACCATTTCGAGAGCTCCGGGGATAGCACGCCATTCTTTAAAGGCAGACCAGTCCTTGAAGTACTGTTTCCTCCGATTAATTCCCTTCCTAATATCCTCTGTACTGGCATGATCCCAATCGATATTGTTGTCTTCTCTTCTGCTGCTATTACAGATATTGCCCGGAATACAGTTGATAGTAGAGCAAAGAGCAGAGGGTGATTTAGGGACAAAATCCTTAATATCCTTCAACTCTACCAAGTTTTCTTTTTCAAACATCAAGCGAACATAATTATTACGCTTCCATATTAACTTATTCCACTCAACTTTGTTTTTCGCGCCAGATTTTTCCACGGTGACATCCCATTCACCCCTGATACGTGCCTCTGGGGGGACTCTCCATGATAATCTTGAGACTTTTTCATCATCTCCAAATCCGATGAGATGGAGTTGTAAATATTCATCGATCATGAACCTTTCCAAGCCAAATCCACGCTCTCCGTCCCCCAGTGATTTCTGAGCCATTCTCTGGAGATGTTTTACGGCGCTTACAATCTGGTAGGCCCATTTCGCTTTCTGGATAAGTTTGATTTTCCTAGCGACCCGTGGCATGCCAGGTAGACTGGGAAGAAACAAATAGTCACTCAGTCGGCCATTCCTGTAGTAATCACTAATATATCCGACGACCTTGTCCCCATCCTTGTCCCCTTCTTCCTCGCCTCCCAAAGTGACGTATCCAATCGGTGACATGATATGAGGATGGAGAGGAATTTTGTCCAACAGAGTTATTTCGTTGTAGATTTTGTCTGCTTGACGCATTAAGTCAAGAGCTATATCTCGGTCGGCGGATTCTTCTCTCTTCCTGACTTCATCATCCACGTCCAGCATTTTGATGAATACACGCCTCGAGTTATCTCCTACATCCTCTTCTCCTAGATAACCAACACGAGACAATTTCCCCAGTTTTTCTACGTGGTAGGCTAGACTGTGACGCTCGTATAAGCCACAAATTGTCTGTTCTTCATCGTCTTCTTCGGACGTCCGTATGCCTAGTTGAGATGGGCATTTCAAACTCGACAACAGTAGTTGGTAGGAGTATGTCGCAACCAGAGCAAAATATGGGTCACCGTCGCTTATCTCTTGAATCTCAAGGACATACCAAGGATTGCCAAAATTAGCGTTTAATATGATTGATTGTGGGGTCATGGAGACGATCTTGGAGAGATTTCCAAACTCGTCAGGAACCTGTGCCGGAGAATCTGCAGTGGAATGAATAGGAAAATTTGTGGGGATGTCGTCTACAGGTACAGGAGGTATGTACCAAGGGGAGGTTTCCTCTTGGCGGAGGAAAACGGCATTCTGAGTGATGCCAGCGCTATCTGCAAATGGATTCTGCACATGTAGAACCAGCGAGATATAAGAGGATGTGACGGTAGAGGATGGAGTCACTGAGACAATCTCCAAGCAATCCAACGTAGGGGTAGGAGAGGCTATAGAGATAGTTGAGTTGACGGTAGAGGGGGCTCTAGAGCGAGTGAAAGACATTTTTGAAGCAATTGTTGGAGATTGTGTTGATGAAGCCTTAGATGACAATTTTGATGAGGCCTTCGATGAGGTTTTTGATGAATTTTTTAAAGAATCTTTCGATGGAGCATTTGCTGAATCTTTTGATGAAGCTTTTGATGACTCTTTTGATGAATCTTTTGATGGAATTTTCAATGAGTTGATTGTTATGAGGGACTCAGCTCTACGACGTTGAGTTGTTGGTACTATGATGGCTGGCGGGTTCGGTGGAGGATGCCTCTCCTCAGAGAACGGGCGGTGCGGTGCAGGGAAGAAAGACATAAGATTATGAGGATGATTTATGGTGCTGATTATGTTGAGATAGGATGATGAAGGGGGGTTACATGTAGGTGATAGTACATGTAGTAAACTGATAACTTGGAGATACATGTACCACAACGTCTCCCCAATCCGTGACCTAAAAACTATGGAAGCGTATAAATTCCTATAAAGATACATGTAGTCTTATTCCTAGACTTTTATCGCATTCTGTGGATATAAATAAAATGACTAGCGAATAATATAATAATTCATGTTGATAATTTTCATGTTTATATGCTGAGATATAAAATATTGGCTTCCTGCCGTACAGCGGTGGGTAATAAGTGATGGAACGCCCTGAGATACAGTTATACCTGCAAACACCGTATGTTGGTGGCGTTTTACCCAAAACAGGTATCACTGTGTCTCAGCCCGTTCCATCACTTATTACCTGTCGCTGTACATAGATCTGCATACATTAAGTGAGTGTGAAGAATCCCGAGTGATTCCTCATGATTCCGATCAGGACCCTGCCAATCAAATTTTTAATGATGTATTGACTTGAGATTGAGGTTATAAATGATACACTTTCCATTTTAAAAACATTCCATCGCATCTTATTATTATATACATATGTATACAAGAAGCGTTGTGGAACATTGAAGTCGACTGGCACCCGAGCTTAAAACTCCAAATTCAGTTGCTTAGTCATCGTTATTAATTGCCATCGACCTTAGACAGCCTAGGTGCGTAGGATATGGGTACTACATGTAGTATTGATAGTGCTCAGAGACGTACCTACATGTACCTACAGGTTACTGTTATGATGCTTTATGTACCTACATGTACTCAAAGTACCTACAATACAGCTAGTAAGTACATTCTAATTTTGGTATAACGGTGATGACGTCTAATGCAGCAGAGCCGCATACAGCCCCAGGTTCTGCATCTCAAAGAGGTAAAGAGAGAGCGGCCACCATTTCACCCCAACTAACCACTTCGAACCTGTAGCCCTGCGCACAGATCCCCCCACCTCAGTGTTGTCCACTTGAGTAGCACATGAACGGTCGAGTTGTGAAGGCCACCGACAGCCTGAAATTTACGAAATACCCTACCAAAGGGTACTTAAGAAAACCCCGCGCAAGGCCATCGTATCAAAGCAAATCTATGTTCCAAAATTGAGAAAAAGCAGTGAGATCGCGGACTCGGGAACCACGGTACCCTTGTGAGCTAAATATTACCTGCATACATCGCATACCGACGAGCAATCAGAGGGGAAGCCGGATGCGGGAACGGGAAAGTGAAGGGTTCATATGATGGGCAACATTACTCTAGACTCCACCGCAACAGAGAGACGGGACGATAACCATAGATAGAGCAGACACTCAACGACCATCTTCATCGCGACGCTTTAAGAGGGCAAAGATACGGCGGACTTGATTGCAATCCCCCTTCTTACCGGTAAGTACATATATGTAAGTTAGCCTCGGGATCACTGTTGCATATAACCACGGTTTGAATTCGAATAAACGAGTAGTAACCGGTGCGAAATACTTGCGATACCTACAACAACATGAACCAACATCTGCTTCATTGCATTAGGCCAGCTGAGCGCCGTGTTTGTACCTACAGTATACGTGACAATATATTATTATTGATAATCCCAGACAACGTTTCCCCTCGTTTCCCCTCGTTTCTCCTCACTTTATCATCTATCGTAACCATCCATCCAGCCACCCGTGTTTTTGCCGTCACGTCACGCGGGCCATCGTCGGGATTAATTGCTTTGCACTCTTACCCCCCTTTAGTCAACGGTTGCTCACTCGGCGTCTCGGCATTAAACATCTACAGTGCCGTGCCTACATAATATCTACATCCTCTATTCAACATCTCTTCGGAGACGAAGACGACGACGCGGGGAATCATAAACAGTATCGAAGTAATAATCATAACAAACCGTGGTTGGCAACTTTAATTTATAGTGACGGCTACCAGCTGTTCAATATCTTGATAAAAACGGCAACATTGCGATAATCGGATATCTCCTTTCGATACGTAGACGCGGCTGTCCGTTTCGTTCTTAACTAGAGTCTGGACTACTTAATTGTCAGTGAAGTCTCTCGCCTCTTCAGTTGCAGTTTAAGGTTTCGGGAAATTTGTCATCTCCGCACGAATCCCCTATCTCAGTCGACCTACGTCCACATATCACCATTGCGACTACCACCTCTTTAATACCATTACATCTCGGTAATATAATCACATTCACTTGAATAATATGGGTTCCGCCTGCTCCACCTGCCTTGGTCGAAGGAAATCAGACGATGTACTTATCCCCTCATCCTGCGTCTCTTCTCTTTACTAATGACTGACTTCCCCTGAATAGTCTGAGCACACTCGTCTTCTTACCACACACAATGAGCACCATCTTTACACCTCTGGGGGAGCTTTCATGTCTCCATCCGCCCCACACGGCGCGCATGCCCCAGTAGACCCACAGACGCTTCTTCATGAGCGTGAATATCTTGATCGCCTCGTGGCGCAGACATCGGAAAACCTTATCGATATCTTCGCGCCTCCAATGCTAACACACTCATCCTCTTCTGCCACGCCAAATAGTCGTGGTGAGTGGTATCGCTCTGTCTTGAGAAAGACAGAACCGCCACAACAAGGGCCCGAAATGCCTGTTGTGTTGGACCCAGCTGTTGTGGGCGCAAAGGAAAGAGAGTGGTTGGATAGTATCCTGAAGGGAGGAGAAGAAGCTGTGAAGGAAGTTGGGAGAGTCAAAGGTGTGGGGAAATTGGTGGTTGGCCTGGAACTTGATGGGTGAGGGATGAAGCGCGCAGGTGAGGGTGGAATGTGCATATGGGGAACTGGTACCTCAGATGCAAGACGTTGGGCTATAATGTCATGTGACTGATTTGGTGACGTATTAAGCTCCAATAAACCTGGCTTTTGTAGTTTATTTCTTGCTCTTTTTATTGTCCTGGATTTTCAATTTGTCTAAATGGTTTTTGTTCCCTTTTGGTGTATGTTGAAGGTTGGGGACTGGCGTTATTATTCTGTTTTCTTTGGTTCTATATTCATACTTTGTCCGAGTAGTTTCTTCACCTTTCAATTTTGTCCTTCTCTAACTCCTTCTTGGTTTGAAGATTCTCAATCCTTGTGTTGTTGCCGCAAAACGAATTCCTTTTGTTTGATCATATCATCATTATTATTATCGTTGTTTCAACTTTTTTTTTGTGCAGGCTCCTGTTTCTCTTCCCTTTTCATTGTAGTATTTGAGTTTTACATAACCGTAAATATTAACACGTAGGTACATACATGTATGAATAACAACATGTACATCTACGTACAATATCATATCCTGTGTCCTAACCTGGCTATTTCCTTACAGATTGGGGGTGTGACGTATATTACCCCATGTATATATATACGTAGGACTTATGGTACTGGCCATGCTGATTTATACCGTATTTCAAAGTACATACTACATATGGGCATGTGTGTACATACAATGTAGATTTAGGTCAGTGTTACATGGCAACTAAGCACAGCTCTATTTTGATGTATGTACATACATCCTCTCAGCTCTTGTGCCTTTTACCTTTGAGATCAGATATAGCCTCATAAAGAATTCGAATATTATTTCGTCATACTTGACAGCTCCCTATCGCCTTTTATCCTATTACCTATTTATTTGACAATATGGAAATAGTAAAGGAAGCTTCCTCCGAGTCCTCGCTACAGATATCGAATCTCTCTGTATCAGGCGGGAACGGGTTCCTGTCCCACCGTCCTATGAGTGCAGGTATCGACAGCATCGTACAGGGCTTCAAATTTGCCGCTACAAGCAGAAAACCCCCTGTAGCAGCAGCTGTGGAGACGGGCAATCAAGTGAATGGGAATGGCAAAACTAGGGAGAGGATGGGGAATAATGACGCCCTTCAGAGTAGAGTAGACTGTGCTGTTGGTAGGCAAGACAAGGATGGGATGGAAGGTGAGCTTCATTTTTACCTACAACGAGAGCTCACAGTTGGCTAATCGAACACTTTAAAATGACATCTAGCAATGAAAATTCAAGTCCCAATATTTTCTGCTGCTACTACTGTCCCTTCTCTACTTCATAATCCCTTGAACCCACAAGTGGTACTGCCCCCCGAGGCTTCCGCACCGCGCGAGAAGATGCTACCGCCATCCCAATCTATACGCCCGATCGAAAGAGGGCGAAAGACTATGCCTCTACAGGGGTCAGTTAAAGAGAAACGGAAACGCACGCAAAGTTCTAGTTCTTTTAGGTCTGATTCAGAGCATGATCAATCCGATCAGGGGAGACTGCTGCCTCGAGAAGATGGACAACGAGGGTATCTGGCAGCATCTGGAGGGAAAGACCCCGGAGCGAGAGGAAAACCCATTAGAGCCAATGAAGGAAAGGTTACTGAAGCCAGCTCAAGTGATGATAGAAGACCTAGAAAAAGACATGAAAGATCAGCTGGAATTTCCAGACCTCAAAACGAGTCCCCTGCTAATCAATCCTCAAATGGAAATGAAAGATCAGCTGGAATTTCCAGACCTCAAAACGAGTCCCCTGCTAATCAATCCTCAAATGGAAACAAAAGTCCTGAAGTTATTATTTTGGACGATGACATTAAACCTGAGCCAACCGAAGTTGAAGTCTTAATACCTGATCATCGGGGCAGAGATTCAAATAATAGTCATAATCCGGGGTTGCCTGAATCAGTATATAATCATGAAAAACATCGGCGAGACAAAAACACCCTAGAGTACATGGACCAACCGCTAAAGCAGCATATGCCTCTTCCGAAAGGCATTAATCGATACCATGGTACTATACGGGATTTACCAGATGGGATGATAAGCTCTTCAGAAACGCATGCAAGTGCCAGATCAGGTCGAATTAATGGGCACTCCTCCACGAGTAGCAGACTCAGCGTGGGAAGCAATGGAGTACCGAAGAACGGAAGGATGCCTATAGAATCTCGTCATATTCCCGAGAATTCCTCGCAGCAGCTCAACTATAAAACACACTTGCATTCGCACACACCTGTCTCTTGTGAAGAGCCGGGTCAAAGCAGTAGTGGTGAACACAAATTATTGGTGGCCTTAACAGCACTAACCACCGAGAAGCAGTCTCTAGAACACAGATTGCGTGAAACAATGTCGTCTCTCAGCACACAGGTCCTGTGCACAGAAGCCGCAGAGAAGAAGAATGCCGAACTTGAAATCCATGTTGCGACTTACAGAGATACAGTATCAGGACTAAAAAAGAGAATGCTAGGGGTCCAAAAGTTCGTGGATGGGCTAGGCAATGATTACAATATGTTAAATGAGAAGAAAACACAATTGAGCAAAAGTATCAATCAGCTGTCTTGGGATAGGGACGAGTTGCGGAAAAACTTCAAAGAAGTAAGAGATCTCACAGAAAAGGCCGGGGTGAAAATTCAAGAATGGGGGGATTCTGGTGCTGTCTTGAAAGAGTCACAGAAAGAGATTGGGAGACGTGAGTTTATATCTCGCCCCTAGTTAGAGCTATGGTATTAACTTGTGACAGTTCAAGAAACTTTAAAATTTCTTCATAATCAACTGTCAGAAAATGCAGGCTTATTGGCTGCTGAAAGGGATCGTACACAAAGTCTTGAATGCCAGATTCAGGAGGACAGAGAAAGGAACAAACTTATTCTAAAAGCGATTCAGGACGGGAAGGTGGAGGTAATTGAGCAACTTGCAGAGCTCAGGGGAACACTTGAAGGGAAGGACGAGCCTGAACTAATGGAAAGACTGGTTAAGGCCCAAAATATTATGGAGACGAGATTAGAGGAGGGTGGCGAGGCTACCAGGAACTTGATCCATAGTTGTTCCAGATCTATCGAGAAGTTGGGGGATCGGGATGTAGATGCTACAGAACTTTTACTTAGTGTGGAGAAAAGAGTTAGTAACGCATCGGTCAGTATGATGGATCTTTTTCACGAAACACATAAGATGAATGCAGAAGCCCTTTCATACTCGGATGGGTATATAAGCTATCTAAATTCCAGGATCACAAATCTGGAAGCAGAACTCAAGGGAATGCATGAAAAATATGAGGTTTCATTGGTTGAATCTGCCGAGAAGAGGCATATCACAAAAGAATATGAGCTGAGGTTAAAAGATGCTTTCAAGAAGTGCGATGATATGAGTACTCAAGTCCAGAGAGGCAATACAGTTGAAAAGACTTTGAATGAAATGTTAGTAAAGAAAATCCATAAAATCTCGAAAGTTATTCTAACAACCTGGGTAGCATTTCCACATTAAAGAAGAACATTGGTATCCTAGAAGCTCGAACCGCAGAAGATCCTTCTATGGTCGCAACGATCAATATGTTGAAGCAAAAGAACTCCAATCTAGAAAAAGAGTTTAGCATAACAAGAGATACCCTTCAGGATACAATACTCGCGTCACAGACAAAGGATGGAGAGATTGAAACTTTGCGATATGAACTAGAGACACTCAACTTGAGGTACAAAGAAGCAGAAAAAAAGATTGAGGGTTTCGTTGAAGAAAAGGCCGGGTTCATGGCACTCGCCGAGGAACAAAAGATGAAAGAACGTATCGAGGTAGAGACAAATGCAAATATGTTTCGGCAACGGGAAACCTCGCGGCTACATAATCAGATAAAATCGCTCGAAGCACAAAAGATGAAGTTAGAGGCTGACAATAAGGAATTTAAGACCATGCTAGCTGGGAGAGCAAACGTCGTAGGTGTCCCTCCCCTTTTCGCCAACTTCCCCTAACCTTTACTGATAATGACCCCGCAGGAAGTTGAACTTAGAAACGAGATAGAAAAGTTAAATAAACAAGTATGTTAAGAATATCTTGGAATATTCTGAAATCATCTAACTTTACAGAATGCGGACATTGAGGCTTCCCACGCTGGGCTCCTACAGGAAAAGATCCGCCTGGAGAATGCGGTTAGTTATTTAACACAACTCAGAGAAACGTCTAATACGAGCCATCGTGCGCTTGAGAGAATCGTTGGAACCACAGCGGATGAACTTTCAAAGGCCTTAGAAAAAATAAATATTCTCCAGAGCGATAAAGAGCTAGTCACTGAAGAAATAATCCTTAAAGAACAGGAATTAGAACGCGCAAAATCCGACAGATCTGAGATCTTAACAACTACTCGAGATATAATCGCTCTTCGTATTATCGAAAGAAACCTGAGAGCAGCTCTGGAAGAATCAGAAAAAGAGAATCAGGTGAGTAGGATGGAGAAGGAAAGTGCAATAAATGCTTTGGAGGCAAGAACAAAAGCACTAGATAAGGCTTTAAAAGAGCTTAGGGACTCTAGAGGGAAATCAAAGTCGGTTTTTAGTCAACAAGAGCAAGATAACTCTCCAAACAAACAAACTAGAAAGTTGGAGGGATATTCTGGAGGGGCTGTCAATGAACATACTGGAGTGTTTAAGAAAGCTTCCCCTACAACGGAAATATCTCTTCATACACCGGATTTCAATGCGAAGAAACAAAACCCTTACGCACGCGTAGCTAGCGAAATCATGGAGTCCCCTTTTGCAAATAGTTCATCACTTTCCCCATTAACATCACCTGAGCCTATTCCCGAAACGCAGATCGATCATCGGACATGGAGCGATTCTCCTAAGGTCGAGATGCCAAAGGGCTCGCAAAACCTAGACATTTGGGATAACCAGGCCACAAAACTTGATTTACAGCACATGCCATCAAACAGAATGCTGCATGATGAAAGCAACGATGTTATCATGAGCGAGGGGTCCCCTGGTGATCGCGTCAATACAGTGGATATTCCGCCTTTAAGAAGCACCTGTCCTGAAAAAAGAACTCTTACACCCTTCACTCCAAGACCTCAAATGCTTGACGTTCTTGAGAATGAGGCGGAGAAACATACTCCATCTACCCCAAACAGGCCGAAAACACCCTTAAGGTATCGCAATACTCGAGGGACTACAAACGATACCAAGAAACTCCAAAACCGCCCTCGAAAAGACCGCGGGAAGAAAAATAAAGATGACCAGGAATGGTCGGAGGATGAAGCTGAGCCGTTGAGGAATAGTAAGGTGAAAGAGGAACCCCCGAACATGAAGAAGAACTTAAGGAGCTTTAAAGATAAGAAGAAAGGAGGTAAAAGGAATTTGTAGATGATAGACTAGTATAATATTAATGTGATAATATTTGCTTTTAAGTTCTCATCGGCTGCCAAAGCTCGCTTTGATAATATACCGATTCCTGAACCCATGAAATGCTCAGTTTTATTCTCATCCATGGCCAGGAGAAAAGTTTCACCAGTGATTTTCTGAATCCAAACTGGGGATTAAGTCGATGCCAGTACATGCCGTTATAAAAGGGGATATATAATTTGTCCCACTACTAAACCCTGTAGCGTTTAGCGCGTAGTTTCTAGACGCCGTTTCCAAAGATATGCATGTATTTACAATTTATCACCTTTTATATCCGTTTTTCCCACAGCCTCAACATCTGACCATAGACCACATTCCCCTAAAGATACACAGATAGGTATATATTTGGGGTTCAGCTATTCTATCCGCTCTTTCCGCGCTTCGCCTCGAGAAAAAGGACATTTCGTCGAACTAGGACCTCCGAATAAGCATTTGTAATTGATCACACACCTCCGGCCCATTTCCACAAATTGAATGTTTTCCCGTGCAAAGAAGTATCCACCCTTTCAAGCCAAATTAAGGACTAATCGCTGGATATCCTTACCGACTGGATCGTACTTGATCATTGACAAAGGCCTGTGAGTTCGGGGCCGCACGAATGTCTTGTAGTAGCCCGTCATCGCCATCGAGATCAGGCGCACCGCAACCGTACGAGATTTTGCTGCATTACTCTTTTAGCTTATAACTCTTTTTTATAGAAGGGCTTAAGGACGGTTAACGAACGTTTTTTTGCCATTGTTTATGTGTAACAGGTCCTGGGTACCGGGGATTGGATGTTTTGCAGATGTGAAGTTGGGGTAAGCTTTTCACGGATCAGGAACAAAATACGGTTACCCGGACTTTGAAGTGGGTTAGTACTGTTTTACATGATAACCAGCTTGGTGGCGTAATGATCCCATTGTGTACTTAGCACAAAAGGCTTTGGGGGTGTAAGACAGCTCAAAGAGGTGTAGGTACTTTGTTGTTGACGAAAAATAAAAGAGTTTAAGCTTCGTAACATGAGCTAATTATAATCCCCTTAACGATTACTCTACGATGTATGTCTTAACATGACAATTAAAGTGGAACCTAGGCATGGGGGCTACTATTGAGTCACTCTTTCAGACTAGCCGGATATATGAGATGCCGTAGTGTGATGACGCGTGTAGTCACTATTGCGTGGACAATTTGTCATTTTTAGTCATGTATTATCACTCGTCTCATATATTTACGAAGATATAGCCCGATGTCTTTTATTTCTGATATAATGAATCTAGACTATCCCTTCGTTCGTGCCCGCGATTCACATAGAATAGCCGAGTTGATATTCAAAATACTAACTGCTACAGGGAGTGGATATCCTCTAGGAGTGGAAAGATGTATTGAAAAAGAGGTCACAAACTGTGAGTTCGAGCCTAAAGAGGTTCGCGGAGTGTGGGTTAGGTGTGCTAGAGATAAAAGGCTGGAACAAGTTAAACACCCCCAATAGCGTTTATGGTCAAAACGAACGAAGGGATAGTACATATATACTCAAAATATATTCCAATAGCTGTCTACTACCGTCCATAAAAAACTTTGGAAAATAGTACTTGGTAGATATAAAATCCCGGAACAAAATCCCAGGGCGCATTCATAAAACCCATGTAAATATTTAATCCAGTTCGAGGAATTGATTTCCAGACTAGGAAGCTAAAAATCAAAAAGATATGTTGAATTTTGACCTCCAAGGCCAGGAGGAGGTATAGCCGTCACTTAGATATGTAGTGTTAGTACCTACTCGGGGCAGGTAAAAAGTACTGGATAATGCAGGTTTTTGGTTCACTAATGGGTGCGCGTGCTAGGCGTGAGCTACTGCAAAAAAAAGCCCAGAGACAAAACTTGCATTGTCCGGTACTTTTTACCTGCCCCGAGTAGTAGATAGGTATATGTAGTGTATACCAAGGGTTGTATGGGAATATGAAGTCCTACTTATCCTACAGTAGCAATAAAACAATGAAGTCTCTCCTTGCATTCACATTCCCGGACCTACAAAGAACAAAATAATCCTGTCTTCCGAACCGCCCGGACTGAGGACATGCGTACTAATCAAGTATATGCGTATATATGTAGGTTTTCTAGATGTATTGCTAATTCATTAAACGTGTCCGCTACTCACTTTTAGCCGGACACCCCCGCAATTGGGCAACTATCGTGGGAAGGTGAAAACCCACATTTCAACTATTTCCAAAGTCCATTCGATTAATCATCTGTCTCGATGAAAGGGTATCCGAGTGATTCATTGATGAGGTATCCGAGTGAGTGGCGGAGACGTCTATGAAATTTAATACATATGATTCCAGTTAAGTAGTTGAGGTCTTGATCCGAGATCCAACGATAACTGCTACTAGGTGTGTATGTATGGGTGTCTTTCTTAGTGCTGGAAAACCTTGTACTCTAACGAGGTACTTAGTGGACTTAGCTATTGGCGTCGTTAATGATTATGGGTTTTAATGAGAAGTTTCCGAATTCCAACATTCAAGTGGGGATATACGGGCCCTGCATACCGGAAATTCCCTATCTAATAAAGTTGGTTTGCTGTAGGTTTTCTCTGATAATCAAACTGTTCGGTGTTAGCAATCAAATCTCCAATCCAATGGGAGGTGCCAAGTGTCAAAATTCTGCTTGTGGGATTCGCCCACGGACCACATGCTATTAATGTGTGGCTCACATGGGGTATCAGCATTTTTTTTTTTAAAAAAAGAATACATTTTCGAGAAATCCATCCAATAAATAGAACATCATCAGTATAATAATGTCTTGATAGCGATCAAGTCAAATGAATTTAATGGGACGTACCATATGTACCGAACCTCAGGCAAACCCGGCTGTTAAATAATATTTTGCAAAAGCGAAGGCTTGAAGGTCTGTCAGGGTTTCCGGAGCTATGGCCAATCTGTGAACTTTCGTTTCTTTTAATTTTAGCGAGAAGGTAAATGAGAACGGGGGCATCCCGGACTAGACTGGGGGCTGATACCGGGAAGGCCGAGATTGACTTCTTTTCATTGAGCCAAACTGCTAGATTTTTTTTTCTTTTATTCCAACCCCCCTAATCTCTTTAACGGTTTGACATTCCTAATCCCGCGTAATCTTGAAGTATTTAGGAGTTTGTATGTAGAAAAAGCTATTTCTTACATACTTTTGTTTTCAGGCGCAGAGCGCTCTGACTTTCCATAAATCTTGGCACCTGACCAGACGGAACTCCTAGTAAGGGTTATCTTATCAGAATTATTTGATTATTAACTCGAGGCCTCAGCACGATTCAAATTTCGGGAACGGAAAACCTACTTGAAGCCAGGTGAGCACCATATTTAACTCTGTTCGTGTCTACGTATGCAGCGAAATTAACTCTAGGTAGGAGGCACAGCAACTGTGCATGGGTGAGGTAGTTGAACGTGACTGAAGCCTGGGTCTCGGATTTGTTAATGTAGGCCTACTGAGGCTCCAAAGTAAGCAGAAAATTGATGTATTTGTATTTTCTGATTAGCGCGCCAACCCCTTATCCACTCTGGAGCCCAACTCAATGCGCTTTGAAGATATTTGCACCCACGATCCACGATCCACGATAGCTAGCTAGGTAGAGTACAGTACATACATGTAGAGTCGACGACCGGTACTACATGTAGTAGGTACTTTAGAAATCCTATGAGTTGCATGGATGTACTTACCACGTCTGTGTTGTTATGCATGAGTCCTTGAAAGCCACTTTGTACTCATATTTTCCTGACGTTTGTGGACGCGACTGATATTGCATGCCATACAAAAATACGCCAAGCTCATGATTTTGGGTGTATGCAATAATGGCCCAGCAAAAACGTCAGGAAGATACTAGTATACAGCGATGGGGAAAATTATTGTAGAAACAGGGGTCAAAAAACAGGGTTTAGGTGGCTGCCCTGGCCAATAGGACTCTTACCATACTTCTACAATAATTTTCCCCATCGCTGTACGAGTTCTGCATTTTATTTTCGAGAACACTGACATGTCTGAACGGGGATGCGGGTGGATTGTCGCTTGGCGCCATGCCGGCATGATGAAATTGTTTTTTGTGGGTCTCTGTTATGCAAAGCGGGTAACTTGACGTTGGCCCACGACGGGCGGATATATGCAGGGTAACTCGTGCAGAAATATATCCGGGTCTGCTGCAACGTTTAGCTCGATCTCAGTTCCGTTTCTGGGTGGGGTGTGTGTGTGTGTGGTTTCCACATGCTTGATCAATCCTGTTGTGTCTTCTGCGGTCGCTGATACAGACCAACTTTCTTTTGTTTATGAGGGTTAGGGTATTGAATTTCAAAGTCCTTAATTACTAAAGCACTCAAAGCACTCTATGCAAATAGAGTATCTAGAGCATGAATTTTGACTCACAAACGAGATCTGCGAACATGTTGACAAAGGTTGCAAGGCCCCGTCCTTAGCCTATCACACCCCCTGACTGAGTAAGGAAATCTTAAGGTAATATCTTCTCTGGTGGCGAAAACACTATTCCTCAGCCACATCTTTAGGAGTAGATTGTAGATGCGGTGATTGCCAATCCCAGATCTACATACCGAGAAACCACAACCCCACGTGGAAATCTATGCACTCAACACCAAGTCCACGACCATGCCAATGATTTACAGGCGATAGAGCTAGTAGTAGTAAAGATTTTGTTTGCACTTGAGAAATACCATTGGGAGCCCCTTGGCACTGTGACGTCACAGCACGTTTGAGGCATGCATGGGAGAATACAAATTCGATGTTGATCTAGGATGGCCATGGGGGAATTCAATTTTGAGCCAAGCAGACAAGAGCCGGGTGGTCTCCCTGTGGCTTTGGATTTAAATGGCTCGGTTCAGGGAAGGGTGTTATCGCTATGTGGCAGCCCTTGTAAGAATCAACAGGGCCCTTACTTTCGAATTGGCATGCTCTGTTTAACAAACCGTAGAGTGTGCTTTTCTGGCTATTGAATTTAATATTCTACCAAGGATGCCGAAGAGACGGTAGGGAAGTTAACAACACCCCTTTGCTATTTCTTACCCCATCACACCTCACTTCTGTTTTGAGACCCTTTTTTTTTGTAATTTCTTTTTTTTTTGTCTGAAAACTGCCCTTTTAGATTTGTGCTCACCAGTCGCTGCCCTAGTAGGGGTAGGGATGATCATCCCTCTTAAAGTATAGCCGGGGAAACGACTGGCCATCATGTTCGCGGATCATTTGGCCGAAGAGTTCCCCAGTTAGCCCTCTAAGTTCTGCAGTCGAAATGTCCGCAGAAAAAGGTGTCCAAGAGCATCTCCTGAACCGCGGGGTTTTTGTATTGAGTTTTGACTGCTTTCGTGTCGACCCGGGGACTGTGCCGTCGCCAGACTTAATTCACAAGAAACCTATTCTTCGCCAGACATACTTCCAAACGGGTCACAGATACTGGAACCGGAAACCAAGGGCAGCTCGCAGTCTCTTTCTGATTTTAATATTCTAGCTTCGGGCGATAATCTGTTCTAGCATCGTGTAAGCCCCAGGACCCTCAAGCCTTTCATATTATTTACCCTCAGAATTACTGTAGCTTTATCCCCAACGCTACCCACCCAAGGTACTGGATACTGGAAAGCCTGCGTGGAGAAGAAAAAGGAGACCCGATATCCGTCACTAAAGTTCATTTGCGGCGTTACGCCTCAACCCATACAAGACGCCATTGGAGGGTGGGGAAATCCTTAATAGGATACAACCTTTGTCAACGCCTCAGAAGCCCAGCTCTTCTGTACATCCATTCACTATACTCTCTGTACCTAAAAGCGCCTTTTCTATATCCGATTACAGTCACGTTTACGTTTACCAGATAAACTCCTCTGCACACAGTATATCGAGTGATTTCTATATTGTGCTGCTGAAAATCGATACACAATTCCAGGGCTTTCCCGATGCCCGCAATGACGACCTACAATCACGATCGGACCAGTGGTGCACCAGTACAGCTCAATTTAGCTTCTTCGAACCAAGACCCCGAGAAAGCTCATGACGATGCCGGTTCACCAAAGCCGCGAGGACGTTCACCGCCAGGTTCATTTCCTTTTCACTTAAAGAACCCAGGACATGCATCACCAGCATCATCCACTACAGGACCTGGTAGTGACTTCGGACCTCTTTCTCCAGATGTCGCAGATCTAGTATATCCTATCAAATCAGTTGTCAACGTATCGCACCCGGTACAGGTACAACCCAGGCCCACATCTCCGAGTAACTTCTGGGGTTCAAACGATAGCACAACGGGGTCCGTTGGTGGTGGAGTGCCACTTGGAGATGAGGCATCCCTTGGTCATGGCCTATATAGCAGGAGTCATTCAAAGTCTCCCCGAGGGTTTTCGATGCATAGACGACCCTCAGTCGTCTCAATCAAGGATCTAGGTGATGGAGGATCAGATAGAAAACGTTCTATGGGGTCTATAGCACATAACTTGACTGTGAATGGTGAGGAGGACGAGGATGATGATTACGAAGAGCCGAGGAGTGGCGGAATGTTTTTTGGTGGTAGAGGAGATCGATTATCAGAGAAGATCGAGGAAGAAACCTTTATCACTGCTAGATTCAAGCACAAAATGACAAAAGATGGCCATGCAATTGTTACTGGGGTTTCTGGGGCTGAGACTTTACAACGATGTGAGGATGAGCCTATTCATATCCCCGGAGCCGTCCAGGGATTTGGGGCACTGTTAGCACTGCGGGAGGATGCCAGTGGCGCACTAGATGTTAAGATCGCCAGTGAGGTTTGTTCCCATAGAAATCGCTGCAGATGTAGATTGCGATTGAAATCACTAAGATCAAGAACAGAACTCCAAGCTGTTAATCGGGTACTCACCGGCAGAGCTATTCGCACTCAGCGACTTTTGCAATATTCTGTCCGAGGAACAGGCGGAAAACCTATATGAACATTTAGACTTTGCTCGGGACGACTCTTCTGATTTACAAAATTCGGGACCAGAGGTCTTCCCGCTAGTCATCACAGCACCTGACTCAACAAGAATAAAAGTCTGGTGTGCAATCCACATAACAGACGCTAACCCGGACCTGATAGTATGCGAGTTTGAGCTTGAGGATGATCAGCTGTTTCCTTTATTTAACCCGGAAGATGAAGTGTTCAATATTCCAGAGGACACGTTGGGTTCAACTCCATCGGAGGAAGACTTCTTGGAAAGTACGTTGTGCATGAGCAGACCACTTCGGGTATTACGTCGTGCCAGAAAACGGAGAGGTCAAGCTGCAACGATGGAGGTTTTCAACCTTATGAGCCAAATACAGGGTAACTATAGAAACCAATACCATTTTGATTTTTTCTGATCATATATACTGACATCATTCTTTACCGGAAGATCAACTATCCTCGGCTACAAGTCTTGATGCATTCTTGAAGATTTCTGTGGGTGTTGTGAAGGAACTTACAGGTTTCCATCGTGTAATGATCTATCAGTTCGACGAAAGCTGGAATGGGCGGGTAGTTACTGAACTTGTTGACCCAAGAGCCACAAAGGACCTTTACAAGGGCCTGAATTTCCCAGCTTCAGATATCCCAAAGCAAGCCCGCGATCTTTACAGGATCAACAAAGTACGTCTCTTATATGACAGGGATCAAGAGACTGCAAGGCTTGTGTGCAAAAGTAAGGAGTTTCTGGATAAGCCCTTGGACATGACTCATTCTTATCTCCGAGCCATGAGCCCGATACATTTGAAGTACTTAAAAAATATGTCTGTACGAGCAAGTATGAGCATCTCTATCACTGCTTTCGACGAGTTGTGGGGTCTTGTTTCCTGTCATACTTATGGGCAGAAGGGGATGAGAGTGAGCTTCCCCATTCGAAAAATGTGCAGACTTATCGGGGAGACAATGAGCCGGAATATTGAGCGGTTGAGTTATGCATCAAGACTCCAAGCACGAAAGTTGATCAACACAGTTCCGACAGAGCAAAACCCTGGGGGGTATATTGTTGCAAGTTCCGACGACCTACTGAAACTTTTCGACGCTGATTTTGGACTGCTATCGATAAGAGAGGAGACTAAAGTTCTCGGTACTTTGCAGCATTCTCAAGAAGCGTTGGCTTTGGTGGAATACCTACGCATACGTCTTTTTACTTCTATTGTCACTTCCCAAGATCTCTCCGTGGATTTTCCAGACCTCAACTATGCACCAGGGTTCTCTGAAATTGCCGGGCTGCTATTGGTACCTTTAAGCATTGGTGGACATGACTTTATTGTATTTTTCCGGAAAGGGCAATTAAGGCAAGTAAATTGGGCTGGAAATCCGTACGAAAAGACCTTGAGAGAGGGTACCCAAGGGTGCTTGGAGCCAAGGCAAAGCTTTAGGATTTGGAGCGAAACAGTTGTAGGGAAAAGCAGGGAGTGGACAGAAGAGCAAGGTGAGCCATTTCTATCTTGTATTGCGTAATTAGCTATAGGTCACTTGACGGCTCATTAATCAATATTCATGGTGAACAGTCGAAACGGCGGCCGTTCTATGCTTGGTCTATGGGAAGTTTATCGAGGTTTGGCGACAGAAAGAAGCCGCTTTACAAAAGAGCCAGTTGACAAAATTATTATTGGCCAACGCATCTCATGAAGGTACGTAGATATATCTCAAATCTCTCTCCCCACCCTATTAGTACAAATGCTCAAAATGAAATATAGTCCGAACTCCTCTGAATGCCATAATCAATTACCTTGAGATTGCTCTTGAGAGCCCTCTCGACCACGAAACTAGAGACAACCTGATGAGATCACACACTGCTTCAAAATCTTTGATCTATGTAATCAATGATCTTTTGGACCTCACACGAACAGAGGAAGGACAGGATCTAGTAATGGATGAGATTTTCGATCTTTGCAACACGGTCAACGAGGCAACTTCAATCTTTAAATCGGATATCGAGCGAAAGAAGATTAGTCTAGACATTGTCGAATATCCCGGCTTACCAAAGTTCGTTAAAGGAGATCAATCACGGTTACGCCAGGCTCTTTCCAACATCACTGGAAACGCGATTCAGTACACCGATCAAGGTGGGGTCAAAATTGAGATATGGATGCCTAGCTCAGACGATGATCGATGCCAAATTGAAATTGCTATTCAAGATACTGGGGCTGGGATGTCGGCCAAAAAGCTTGATTTGCTTTTCCGAGAATTTGAGCAGGTGCAGACAGAGGAGGATCAGGAGTCAAGTGCCCCTACTGGTATCGAGGGCATGCCTAATAAGCCTCGCGTTGACCAAACTCTGGATGGGCTTTCAAAGATTCCGGGGCAGAAGATGTTGGGGCTTGGATTAGCGGTAGTTGCCAGAACAATTAGGAATATGAATGGACAGCTGAGATTAAAATCTGAGGAGGGAAAAGGCTCTCGTTTCACGATAAGCCTTCCATTCACACTGCCCTCCGAGAAGGAAGAGGTTGAGTTCGGTTCTCAACCAATGTCTATTAGAGATTCATCGCCGCAACCCCAATGTGCAACGCCGCCGTTATTAGATCAGGACTCAAATGAGTTATTGTTGATAGATTCGTCACCTCAAAAGCAACCCTCTACGAGTATGGAAAGAAAAAACAGCATGGGCAGCATGAAAAGTTTGGGCTCCCAGAGCAGTGAGCGCAGTGAGATTGACAGGCTGGTTCACGCAATATCGGCCCCACCCTTTAACACGAGTCCAAACGAAACCCCTATTTCATATCGGCCATCGACGGCTAGATCTCTACCATCATCAAAACCAGTTACCGCAGGGCCGAAGAGCCCACCGAGCCCATCCCCACCAGGCGCACCAAACCTTCCAAGAATATCACTACAATCTCAACCCGGTCAAGAGGCTGTAGAGGGATCGGCAGTACCAATAAGAGCGGTGCGGATACCAGATGAAGTACCATTAATCCCTAGCAGCGATTCTGCTCTCGATACACCAGTGGTTCAGTCATCTGCACGAATCCTGAAGAAAAAGGAGCCCGTGAAAGACAGTCCAGTGAAGGACGGTCTAATGAAAGACGGTCTAGTGAAAGACGGCCCAGTGAAAGACGGTCCAGTGAAGTTCAAGGTTCTAGTTGCGGAGGACGACCCTATAAATAGCAAAATCATCAGAAAGCGCATGGAAAAGCTTGGACACGAAGTTTGCCTTACAGTTAATGGAGCCGAATGTGCGGATACATTCACGAAAACGGGAGAAGACTATGATATTGTCTTGATGGATATGCAGGTTAGTATTTCCCCTTTAAGTATTGCGCCTTTAGTCGAAATAGAATATTAACAGGTTTGAAAGATGCCCATCATGGATGGAGGAACTTCCACTACTCGAATACGTTCCCACGAAGTATCGGATACAACGCGCGGTATCCCGCCAAAGCATTTGCTCAATGGTCGTGTTCCGATATTTGCAGTTTCTGCCTCGCTGGTCGAAGAGAGACGCAAGGAATATATGGAGCTCGGGTTTGATGGGTGGATATTAAAACCCGTGGACTTCAAGCGATTGCAGATTTTGATGGAAGGAATCCTGGACTCGGATGCGAGGCAAGGTGCTGCATATCAACCGGGGGCATGGGAGCGTGGAGGTTGGTTTTTAGGATCACCAGAAGAAGCGGGGAGCTCAACTCCCCGGTCGGAAGATGCTACATCCCCATAACCCGGAAGTAGTTGTGGTTTAAAGAATTCCCCAAACTCGAAATTTAGCGACCTGCAAACCTTCCTAGGACATGTCGAATACCCTTTCAGAGCCTACACGTGTAGGGTCTGGATTTAGGGATGGAGCAGTTTTTTTTTTTTTTTTTTCCACTTTATTTGTTCAGTCGTATCACTTCAGCTTTGGACTTTTTTTATTACTCGCCGCAGGAACAGCATAAATTCATAATAGTAGCTGGTCTTTTATCAGTTTCCAGGAGTTTTTTCTTTTTTTTCAGTCCTGCAAACCAGGATTTAGATCTTATATCGTTTTGGGATACGAGTATTTTGAGGTCGATTTGGTTAGACTTTGTTTTACTTATACCATCGTTGTGTAAGGGCTATTGGGTGTCTGAAGGGAAGGTTTTTCGGAATTTAAAGGGCGGGGCTACGGGCTGGTGGACAGATAAATTAAACAAATGTATGTAACGCAAGCTTTGTCTTCAGTCTATTGTATCATCTAAAATAGAAGGTGCGAACATCAGGCATTCTCACCTTCAAAGTCAATGATCGAGTTTTAAATTGTTTATATAGCCGAGTGACAGACCATGTCTCAAACAAATCTTTTTCTCACTTAATAATTGGTGATTAGGATCATTATAATGATCTCTTCTTATTTCACTGAATATATAAGTGCTTATAACGAAGAGTCTTTCGCATAAATGCAGAGCTCTGCCAGTTCCCGTACGTATCCCCTGCGGATAGGCAAACACTGTCACCGGCCAATACGCTGTCGATATTCTTGTTCTATAGACGTTTCTCGTAACGTCCAATATATTAACGAACGGTAGTTAGCCAAGAATTGCAATTAATCACCGGTGGCTATCACTTCCTCGCTATAGCAATTTTGATATTCTACTGTCCCCCCACCTACATAGCTAGCTGTGGGAAGACAACGTCTTTGCTTTTATCTTGGCTGTGTATAGCCACTCCGGATCCGTAAAAGCGCTCGTGATGCGGACGAACTCGAGGTTCATCGGGTTTTACCTACATACATGCTATGTGCGCTCTGTTATCGGCGCCGGGTCTGGTAGGAGCAGGTGCTGCGAGAAGAATCAGAAGATGCCATGGCGTGTATCGTGGAAAGTAAGGGTGCTCAATGGCGATGCTGCTGTGATGTATCGATAGTGTCGATAGCTACTTGTGTATGTATCATGTTGCATCGTCAAAAAAGCGGTGATGGACAGAGCTCTAGGAAGAGGTTGAACCCCACTACCACCAGGACCAACCCAACATCACGATTCACACGGATCCAGGTAGGAGTACGTACCACCATTGCATTCAGAGCTTATGGTGACACAAAAACAGTTGGGTGAGATGCTTGACTTGACCACACATCCTCACGTATGTACCAGCGGTGCAGAAGCTACATGCACCACGTAGGATCGAGCTTGTCGAAGGAGATCTCATACTTTCAATCTCACTGCTCTAGCTACCCTGAGAACCAATTTAGCTTTGGGAATCGAGGGTACACTACATGTAGCTGTATACATGGCCCAGCTGCAGTAGAGTACTGGCGCCTCCTTTGCTGGTTTAGAAGCTAGAACCACTTAAAATGCAGTTAAGATTTGTCCAGTGTCGAAGCTCTCTAGCTATATTTCGAACCTTGTACCGGGTGTTGAGGGTAAGTGATAAGTGAATGTTGCGGTGAACACATACGTGTATATACGTGTTTGTCTTATCAGATTCTAATCACCTTTTGCTACACCCTAGTACAAACCTCATAAGATCATGTTATTGCGAATACCAATGGGTATTGATATTGTCAATCCCACAATACTGATTTTGTTATCCGGGTAGTGCAATTACTTGAGTACTTGGTGCGATCTTGAGGTGCGTTTTAAATGCAACCTCGAGATCTCCATTGACTCCATTGGACACACACGCTACTGTAATAAATGAGTCGTCATGTTTGTTTGCACCCTGAGCCAGCCAGCCAGCCAGCTACAAGTGATATCTCCCACTCGTGCTTTGGTTGAGTCGACGACACTGGCTGTTTGCTCCTAGATCCTCACACCAGCTCCAACATTCTCTACCAGTGCCAGTACCACCAGACGGGTAATAGTAATAGCAAAGTGACGTACGTCCAGGGATGTATAACCACAGCGTAGAGCACAGTACCGGTACATCCCAAGTAACGACCTCATGTACCGGCGCTGGGGAAGGCGCGGCTCCGCGACATGGGGTGGAAGAAGGGGGGGGGGGGGGGGGGGGGGGGCAGAGGATTTTCCCTAGCCCTGTGCAAGTCTGGGCCAGTCAGCCTTCGCTTCGTGGGTTTGCTTGGGGGCAGAATCAGGAAGCCTGGGTCCTTTCCGTTGGTCAACACCGAACGAACCACTCTACTCTACCCATACCATACATACACACAGCTGCATAGGGCCAACCCACGGCCTTTTCTGTATCGTGTGTACATACATATATCCCAACTGATTGATTGACTCGATTGGGCTTCTGGAAATCTTTCCCTACTTACTCAACGTTCGTTTTTATCCGCGCTGCGCGACTTGAGATAATAAACCGCCGTGAAGAAGAAGGAGAAAAAGAAACACCCCCCCCTCCCCTCCCCCCTCCCAGACTGATCTTCCCACGACGACCACATTCACGCACAATACTCGCCTCTCAGTGTGAGGCATCTCTCGCCGCCCTGAACGAGCACTTGCCCGGTGGGTAGAGAGAATGTGCTACTGCACCGATATACAGTTCCCGTCGATAGCACTCCAACGGCCACTTCAGTTGTTTGCCGCGCCCTACTGATTCTACGGTGCCGGAGGAGAGAACAAAATGTTCACGGGGGTCATTGGCGGATATTCCACAACTACTACTACTGCTACTTCTGCTATTGATTTTATTACAAATACTACTTCTACTACTGCTGCCACTACTTCTACTTCTACTACTACTATTACTGCTACTACTACCACGAATACTACTGTGGTCACTGCACTTGAGGTTATACCCTGCTGTCGCGACACTGAGGAACGAGTCTATCTGTAGTTTGACTTTTGTTGATTCCTAGTTTACTTTTCGGGGAAAGCATATCTGCACGCGCAGCTCCCGAGAAATTGGATTTCAAAGCAGAAGCCCTTTTCCGAGAAGACGCGATTGACCGTGATTGATAGCGAGGGCCCTGGTTCCAATTACAATACATCTAGCGGCGCACACAGAGAGAGTGTAACACATACTACCACACTCAGTACCAAGTACCAACCCAACCCATAGCATCGAATCGGTACCAACTGGTCGAAGGAATTGCAGAGCCTCAAATCTGGGGAAGGTTAAACTGGGAAAAGAAGAGGAGGCGTGATACCCCAACAGACGCAGAGAAGGAGTAGAGAAAGGGTGAAGAGTAGCAATAAGAGGAGGGATTCTAGAAAGGAAAGAAAGAAAAAAAAGAGTATATTGCATCAAGAAGATAGCCCACCGCCAGTCAGCAGCAGCAGCAGCAGCACCATATCATTCATCACGATCAAGCAACGCGCCCCTCCCCCCCAACAACCACAATACCGGTTGCCTGACAGCGCTCTTCTGCACCTCGATACACCCTACCACCCCCTCCCCTCACTCTGTTCCATCCCAAGGCGGCGATCCTTACACATCGATCCTCGAATAAGGTCGTGGTTGAGAGAGACACTTGTGCTTGCTTGTACGACTAAAACTTGCAGCAGCCTCACAGCCATTGCATAGATACCCCAAACTCAACTATTATACAGCATCCCACCATTACTGCTGCCGCCATAGAGCAATATTATACCCTACAAATATCAGTGCTACTATTATTATTACTACTGCTACCTCGACCTCACCCACTCACTACCTCTGCTATTGCTGCTACGACCGAATACAAATACTACAAAACAAATAATAACCTTCCCGGAACACCCTTGCCGCGAACTACCTACCACCAACCATCACTCGCAAACATCACGGTCAGGGGATCATAGCACCCCAAAGACCTCGGGAACAGAAGCATGGAATCCCCCGAAACCTGTCTAACGAACGTTCTCAAGATCGTATACCTCCCCCTCCTCCCTCATTCCTCCTCCCCCCATTTCCCCTCCCTACTCACCCCCATCACCTCCCTGCGCAATCCTCGGTGATGATGTTAACCCATAGCAAAACCGACAGGAGAACCTCTCTCGAATACCCTACACCCTCTACCGCCCGTCAGACGATAACCCACCACAACCACAACCACCACAACCACAACCGTCACAACAACCACAACCACAGCAACTCCCACAATCACAATCACAATCACAATCGCAATCAAGACTTCTTCCCGCGTCATTAAACCGCCACACAACAAACGCCCTTCGACACGCCGAACGCACCCTCCGCACAGAAGGAAACATCGTTTATGCTGATCGCGACAGTGTGACACTGTGGCTATTCCAGATCGAAGGCTTCCCGTCACCACCCGGAAACACCGCCAGCGGAGGCGCCGGCAACGGTAAAGATGCTTGCGGCGACGATAGCATGGAAGGGGAGGTACAGGCCCAAATTGCAGAGGAGGAGACGAGCGGGAAATGGAAGAGAATCGACGCCAGACTTCGCGATGAGTGGGGTCTTCGAGGTAGGCTGCCTACGTATCTACCTTTAAGAATTCACTATACCAATGCTAACAATACCCGCCCAGAATCGTCATCCGGAACCTTCCTCGCATCCGCCTTAGCACCCCCTCAACCCCCACACACAGCAACATTTCACTCCTCGTCATCGCGTCCTGCCACGCCTGGCTTCCCGCCAACGCCCATGTCCGGGATGTTCCCTCCCTCATCGCACAGCACGCCTGCCGCGATCGACATCACCGACGACGGAGCTTCCGAAGACGCCTCCCTGCCAGAAGACCAGTTTGCCGCCTACAAGCGCTTCATCACCGCCGTGCTGCTGTCCCTCCACTTTGAGATGGCGGCCGGGAGCGGCTACACGCCGCTCAACATCCGCACACTCGTCTCGCCGGCGTCCCTGCGGCTGTCGATATCCGAGGAGCGCGGCGGCGAGAAGGAGGACACGGGCAAGGCGGACCAACAGCTACTTCCCAGCACACCCGTTGTGGTACCGGAGGTTATACGGCCCACTGTGGTCGCGTTGGACGCATATCTAACCACCTCCGGAACGCTGCTTATAATTCCGCATACAGAGGTCCAGCCCGCAATTCGGCGAGTGTCGTCCTGCGCGACCCGGGGTATGGGAGCGGAGGAGGGCCTGGACGGGAGAGACGTATACATTGCGCCCTGGGGCGAGTGGGGGCGATTACTACCCTCCACGCCCACCACAGAGCCGGCAACTTCAGCGAAAGAGCTAAAGTGGAAAGGCGCGGTAAGGTCGTATCTACAGGACTGCGGCATCCTCTCCACACCGGGCAATGGCTGGCGGGGGGACTCCGTGAACGTGCTCGAAGAGGCAATCCAGGCGGGCGACTGGCGACGGATCGAGATCTGGATACCGTTCAAGGAGTTCCCCGGCATGGGCATGGCCGTCAAGGTGCTGTGGCCGGAGGCCCTGCTGTTCATGAAGGCCAGCGAGGACGACACTATTCCCTGCGTGGACGAGGCCCAGGCTGAAGATGCTGCTGAGGGCGAGAACGTGTTCTGGAAGACGGTGTTTGCTGACCCAGAGTATGGACGCTTCGCATCCGGCAGCCTATCGATGTCGCTCGCGTCGCTCGTGTTTGCGGAAGACGGGCAGCAGCTACCGCGGGCGCGCAAAGACACCGGCGCCGACTGGTGGGCCACGGCCTCGGCGGTCGAGTGGGCCGAGGAATGGCTCGCGGGACGGGAGGAGCGCGACCGCGTGGTCAAGGCGCGGCTGGAGGAGAAGAAGGCGCTGCGGCGGAAGCGGGAGGAGGCCGAGCGGCAGGCGGCGGAGCGCGAGGAGGAGAGCGTGAGGGTCAAGGTGAAGAAGGAGGAGGAGGGGGAGGATAAGGCGCAGGTGCAGGCGCAGATGGAGATGGAGGTGGAGATGCCAGAGGCGATGGACACGAAGGAGGATAAGGCAAAGCTGAAGGTGCTGGAGCAGAAGAACCCCGCGGGCGTGTATCCGACGCCGCCGGAGGGGGGGCAGCAGACGGCGCAGCCGATGGGCGGGACGGGCGGGACGGGCGGGCCGGGGTCGACGAGTTCCGGGAGTGCGCCGAGTAGTACGGTGATTTCTGCAGAGGCGATCATTGGCGCGGTGCCGACAGAGACGGACATGGAGCTGGACTGGACGGCGGAGCTGCCGGGCGTGGCGGACCAGGTGCCGGAGCCAGGAAGGAAACAGAGCGATGCTGCGGCAATCGGGGGTCTCGCGGGGGGGACGGGAGAGGCGGATCTGTTTGGCGGGGACATGGACGACGACGATATGTTTGGTCACGCAATCACGGAGGACGATTTCGCATTCTTTGACAACAATCCAGGGGGCCTGGAGGACTTTGGGGACGATCTGGGGGGCATGGGGGAGGATGATGTGAATATGGCACTTGAGGATATGGATCTTGGAGGAGCGGGCGGCAGCAGCAGCAGCAATATCAATGCACAAGCTGGTGGTGGTGGCGGCGGCGAGATGGACCTTACCATGGAGATTCCCATGCACGCGCGGGAAGAAATGGTGATTGAATCCAGCCCCGCTGCAGCCATGATGGCGCAGCCGCCGACTATCAACATTGACGTGAGCAGAGCCGACGGACACCACGACGCGAAGCTTTCCGGCGGCAGCGCCTCTGACAAGCTGGCCGAGAGAGAGCCGCACATCCAGACGCCGCCGCTGAGTCCGCACCGGGCCATCCGCCTGCTGGTGCCCGAGTACTCGCTCTCGCCCAACAATCAGCCGCACCCCACGCCGCCAACGACCGGCGGGGCCATGAAGACGCCGCAGAACAACGGCGCGCCGCCACCACCGCTACCACCCCCGAGCGGGGGCGTCAGCGAAGCCAAGCGCAGAATGTCGCTCTACTCGCCCATCACATTCACGACAAAGATCGAGATGGCCGATAGAAAATACGCGCCGGGCGGACGCTACTTCCTGCCCGAGAGCATCAAGGACAAGGAGCTGAAGGAGTTTGAGAGCAAGCAGGGGGGCAAGCTGGAGACGCCCAAGGTGCCGCCCACGCCCAGCGGGCAGAAGCGCAAGCGCGGGATCTTTGTGCGCTCCGTGGTGGTCGAGGAGGGCGCGGAGGCGGCGGCGCCGGAGGTGGCCGAGGTGGTGCTGGCGGACGACGCGGTGATGGCGGAGAGCCCGGAGGACGACGAGTGCGATGCGGGCGAGTACAGCGACGACGAGTGGTCCGAGGAGAGCAGCGTTGAGAGCGACGCCGACGACGAGACGGAGGAGGAGGACGAGGCGGATGCCGGGGGACGGTACTACACGAGCCCGTTGGCGGCTGCGTATGGCGGGGGCGGCGGCGGCGGGAGCAAGAAGCGGAAGTGGGCGTTTGAGGACGACGGCGAGAGCTCGGTGGCGGAGACGATGATGAAGCGGGAGACGGGTGCGGGCGCGGGTGCGGGTGCGGACGGCGAGGGCGGCGAGGTGCCGGGCGAGCTTGCACCGCCGCCGTGGGAGGTCATGGTGCCGGACCCGACGGACGCCTCGCTCGTGGGCGTGTTCTCAACCATGACGCTCGAGACCGACGCGATCTCGCTGGCGGGCCTGGGAGAGGCCGAGTTCATGGCCGTCAGCAAGCTGGTGCGCGAGCAGGTTGTGAGCGGGACGTCGAAGCCGCTGGGCGCGCTGCTTGACGGCGGCGGCGGCGGTGGCGGCGGTGCCTGGGTGACGGCGGTCGAGGACGACAACGAGGAGTGGTGCCTGCTGCGGCGGCGCAAGGGCAAGGACGAGGAGGTCGTCGAGGAGGCTGCGCGCGCGCTGTTTGGCAGCGGCGGGGTCGTGCGCTGCACGCTCGAGACATACGTGACGGTGGCCGACGCCGTGATCGAGCCGCCGCCGCCGCCGCCGCCGCTGCTGGTCGGCAGAGCGGCGTCCATGCGCCCCATCGCGCAGCCCAGGCGCGGCATCAACACGCCGACGCTCAGCAAGCGGCCCTCCGACCCAGCTACGCCCGCCAACTCGGCCATCTTCAGACTGCCGCCGCCGCATGTGCACATCCACCGCGCCGAGCAGGCGCTGGAGATCCTGCCGCCCGCGCTGCACTTCTGGGAGACGTTCGGCTTCGGCCCGTGCTCCGGCCCGAAGAGCGTCATCGGCTTCTGCCTGCACCCGGCGTCGAGGGCCATGGACGACGCCGCCGACGCCCTCCTGGAGCGCGTCTCGTTCTCGTACGAGTCCGGGCGCTTCGGCACGCACGTGCGCGGGCGCCTCGACGCGTCCGGCATCACGAACGGCGCGCTGGGCATCGGCGGGCCCAAGGACGGCGGCGGCGGCGGCGGCGGCGGCGGCGGCGGCGGCGGCGGCGGCGAGACGGCGATAATCGACAGCCTGGAGAAGGGCGTGGCGGCGCTGATGGACGGGCTGGCCGAGTTTGGCGCGGTGCTGGCGGGCGGCGTGGCCGACGAGCTGCAGAACATCGTGGTGTACGTGGTCAACCCGTTCGAGCACCCGAGCGCCGTGGTCGACATCTGCGCGGGCTTTGTGCGCATGTGCCGCGTCTATGCCGGGTGCGTGCAGATGAGCGCGCGCCGCAACAACTTGGTGCTGCAGATTGTGCCGGCGGGGTTCGTGGCAAGGCGCGCGGGCGGCGTGGGGCGCGGGCAGGGCGAGTGGGCGGCGCTGGCGGCGGAGGTGTACAATCGCTGCATGCCGACGGACGGGATGTGCTCACTGGACGAGGTATGTGGAGTGAAGTGAAGAGGCCCGGGCCTGTGCAGATAACCCCCAGATCCATCTATAATCCCCAGATCCATCTATAGTCCCCAGATCCATCTATAATCCCCTCCCCCGATGTGCGGTGGTGCATTTGCTAACTAGAACCCCCGGATATCAGGCACAAAAGACATTCTCACCATCGATATACCTCGCCCGCTCGCCGCCAAAGACAATCGAGTTCCGCGCCACCGACCCCTCGCCCGCGCTCCTGCACGAAAACTCCATCCTGCACATCGCCTACGCCCAGAGCCTCGACGAGCGCTGGGTCAGCGTCGCCTGGACCGACGCCTGGGGCGAGCTGCAGGCCACCGAGAGCTACTGCCTCGGCCGCAAGAACTGCACCGTGCTGCGCCCCTTCGACGACGTCTGCCGCGACATCTGGGCCCGGACGCTCGACATCACGCGCGTGCGCCGCGTCTCCTGGCGCATCATGCTCACCAAGGTCGGCCCCGCCATGCCGCCGGACGAAATCGACACCTGGGCGCGCCTGTCGCGCGCCTCGATGGCCAGCCTGACGCACACGCTCACGCTGCTGACGGCCGATGTTGCACCGCCGCTGGCCGTGACCCCCGTGTTGCCGAACATCGCGCCGGCGGCGTTTAATCCGCTGGTGGCGCAGGGCACGGGGACGCCGCCGGGGGTGACGACGCCGACGCCGGGCGGCGGCGGCGGCGGCGCGGGCTCGATCGTGTCGCCGGATCAGTTTGGGGGCGCGGCGGGGACGCCGTCGGCGGATCTGCTGCCGGAGGTGGATGCGGGGTCGGCGCTGGTGGACTATGGCGATGAGGTGTGGGGCGTGGTGTGTGCGCATCGGTGGCGGCGGGGGCTGCTGCTTGGCTTGGATGATGCTGGCGGAGGGGGCGGGATGGGGTATCTTGTGAAGCGCGGGGGCGCGGGGGAGGGGGACGACATGGTTGTGCTGGGCGTGGAGGTTGTGCGCGGTGCCGGGGTGGGCAGCGGGGTGCTGAGGGAGGTGCTGGCGGCGTGGAGGGATCTGGTGACGTTGGGGCAGTTTAAGGGCGTGGTGGAGATGGCGGGGCGGGGCAGCGTGGTGCCGTGGCATGTCGGGGCGGCGTGGAAGGGTGTCGAGGCGCTTGGGTTTGTCATGTGATTTGTTGGTTTTTATAAATATGGTTTTCCCCTTTCTTCTTCATTCTTACGACTCTCACAATTCTTCATTAGGACTTTACTTTTACCATTAGGCTGTTTGGCATTGGCTTTTTTTCTTTCGTTTCTCATTGATCATTGACATGGCTTGCTTTTTTCGCTTGGGTTTGGAGGATTGACTTCTTTTTTTCTCACTCGTCTTTTTTGGAACGGTGTTTTTTTTTTTTTTATTTTTATATCTTTCTCATTATTACTATTCCATACTCTTGCCTTTACCTCTGTCTGGCCAACCGGTTTTTATCTTTTCTTTCACAGGAAGTTTGGGTTACGTGAGGTTTTTTCGGCTGTACGTTGGGAGTGCGGGACCTGGGATTGAAAGCTACAAAAGCGGGGGAGGGCGGGCGGGCGGGGGTCTTGTATGTATTGCTGCAGGAATGGCATGGACGTTGAAAAATTCTATCGAAACGGAACTGGATTGGAGGCGGTAAGGAGGGGGTTTCCTAACTGGTTGGCTTGGTTGGCTTGGTTTGGTTTCATCAAGGCATATAGGCATGGGGAGCGCGTGTATATTTTATATCTTTTCTCTTTTTCGATTTCTTTTTCGATTTTCTTTTGAGTGTGATTTTTTTCTTTTTTTTCTTTTTGAGTTTGTGAGTTGTTTTTTTCTGTGAGTGCGATTTTCTTTTTATATTTATAAAAACGAGGCCTTTTTAGAAAGTGTGTGTAGGTTTATGATGATTTTCTGTTTTTTTTTTTTTTTTTTTTTTTTTTTGTGTGTTCTTATTTTTATGTGTGTGTGGAGGAGGAGGTAGGGAGGGAGGGAGGGAAGGTGGATAATTTGGAAGGAATTGGAATGGTTAATTTTCTGTATGAGCGTCGTCGTGAACTGTGTACTTGTGTCGTGTGCCTGTCTAGCTGTGTTACCTACAGTGTTGCCCCTCCGCTATACATACCAAATTGCCAAAAAAAAAAAAAAAAAAAAGGCCACAACGAACGGGTTTTGGTGATCCGAATCTGAAAAAATGATAGAATTTTTACCTGCTGTACCGAATAATCTGCTGTATCGAAACGAGAAATTTTTTGGAAAATATGCAGGTTCGTTATGTAGTTGCCGTGACACGCCGTGACATGGTGTGACAGGGGTTTTGGGGGGGGGGGGGGGGGGGTTGTGTCTAGGGATGTGAAATCGCCAATATACCACCTACGTGGTAATTATAATATACCCCTTTTTACATACAGCCAAAGTAGCCATGTTTGGGGGCTACCTGAATAAACCACCCACCCTCATCCAAAAAAAAAAAAAATTCCCACGCTTTTCAAGATTTGGCAAAGATTTTTTGGAATGATATCGAATGTGTTTTTTTGGGGGGGGGGGAGCTTATGTACGTACCCATACAAAAAAAAAAAATCCGAGAAAACTAATTTCACAAAAACAGAGATTGAAATTCTGAGTTTCCTTCTAGATGACTTTTAATGTTCCTACGAAGCGTGTAATTTTTTTTTTTTTTTACAATCAGTTTAAGTGGTGGTTTCGGGGGGGCTACTTTAGCTATAAAAAATTAAGTACCCCGATTGTAGGTACATGTACCGTTTCAGGACGCGGCCTTATAAGAGACTGGAGAGAATCGTGCACTGTGGTATGATTGAATTGACTACTAACGAGAACAGAAGGAACAGGCGCCTTTTACAGTGAGCAAAGACGTTGTAGTCTAATTACAGCACGTTCCATAATGCTAGGCCCAGGAAACGTTCTCAACTCGTAGTATGGTTCTCGAAAGATGGCCTATCCGGGCAATTGAAATTACTTTTTCGGGTAATTACTTGAGAATCTCAGGCTTGGGTTTCCTAAGCAGGCTATAATCCTAAGGTTTGAAGAATCGCACTGTGTGTGTTTGAGGCCTAGTATTACATATTATCACCACAACCACCAAACTCGTTTTGACAGTGCTAATAGCAGATAGCAAAGACACCTACCTACCTACCTACCTGTCATACGGCCAGCTCCGGCCAGCTTCGGATACTCTCGGGAGAAAGGAAGAACGGAACAGACCTGGGAAACGTCAGACATGTAGAGGTGGCGTCATGTGGCTTTCTCGAAAGCGCAGCCTCGCTCCAAGGATGCCCCCCCGTGCATGGCGTGTGATTCCGACTCCAGGATGCCATTCCGGCGGTAATCGCGATATGCCCTCTAGCTCTTCCCCTAGCTTCCACTATAGAAACAAGACTTGGTTTTGCCCGAGCGAGGTGGTGATGTAGGAATCGGACGGCGTAGGATGTGGGGGATGTCCATGGAAGTGTTCTAGGTTATCCCGCTCAAGCTATGCTAGCTATGCTGGTGATGTTGGTGATGCTGAGGTGAGTGGCAGCTTGGTCTGGCCGGACCCAGGGTGCTGCCTGTCACTTACGTAGCTAGAGCTTGACGTAGACTCTAGAGCACTTTACGGCAGCAAGCAACCGCGATCTGGGACGAATCGCTCGCTCACCTCTCCGGCGCTAGATACCTTCTCATGACTGCTGCGTGACTCTATAGTATTGATCTGCTCTCTGTGTGTACAGGCCTAACCGCGCCCCCCCTCCACTCCACTCCGCTTCACTGCCACTGCCACTGCCCCTGCCCCTACTATGTACTGCAGTTAATCGCTCCAATATGCTGGCCGCCTTTGGCGCGCGTAAACGAGTTGCACATCCCCCCCCCCCCTACATTACCCCTACTACCCTACCCCTACATACCCGCCCGACGCCCGACGCCCGACGCCCGACATGACCCGAGCGAGGGATTGCGAAGTGAAGTGCAATGATTCAGATTGCGACACCTCCCGCGCTAGCGTCTGTCAAAACCGAAAACTGCATTATTGTCCTTTTGCTTTTTTGTGTTTTTTTTTTAAATTTGTCCTGGCCCGGCCCTTGAAACAGTGGAATGTCCGTCGGGCAGGTTAACTAAGGTTTGGAGTCCGGTCCAAGGCATGTAGGTATGTAGGCACCAGGTGAGCGGGCGGCTGTTCAAAACACCAGCGAGAGAGAGAGTCGCATCTTGACTTGACCTTTTGTCAATTCGACATTTTTGACCCTCTGTCTAGAGATGCCAATTGCACCGATTGGCCTGGTCTACCCTCTAATTTCGTTTTTTTTTTTTTTTTCCCCGATCCCATTCCATTGCGTGCCGCCCGCTGGTACTCAGCTACATAAGTATCCAAAAACAAACCCACGGGAAGACTAGCATCAAGATCTCCCCCCAAGGCGCGCGCGCGCCGCAAAAACAAAAAGACTTGCCCCCCCCCCCCCCCCCAAAAAAAAAAAAAAGAAGAAGCTGCCAGTCCGATTGGGTTCCCCGATATTGGAATGCTCACAATGTATCGATCCCAGCACCGAGTTAAGGTTTTTTTTTTTTTTTTTCCGCTCTGTGGTTTGGAACTCTATTGGTACCGGTACGTACCGGTCGATATGTGTGCCTGTAATTTCCGATATAATAATAGCAAGGGCGTGGCATGCGGTACGGTGAAAAATACATACTCTGTACCGCCAGCGCGGGCGCGCACCGTATGATAGATCTTGTTCTTGTTCTTCTTGTTCGTCCCGTCCGTACGTACATACACGGCAGCTAGAGTAGACTCTTAAGAGCCTCCTCCTCCAATCCGATAAAACCATACATGTAATCTACACACTGCAATATCCATCCATCATACACCCTTGCCTTGCCTTGCCTTGCCTTACCTTACATCACCACTCCAATCCCTCCAATCCGTAGGTGGGGGGGGTCTAAATATACCTCACCCACATAACCCGGGCGCGCATCCCCCCCACCCCCCACCCCACTGGCCGACGTACCTCCTCTACCACACCCTGCGGGAAATGCGCTTGTGATTGGGTACGCGCCGGCTAAAATGCGCGCGATCACACGATTGGGCTCGCTTAGCTTATGGGGGGGGGGATTCGCGATAGAGGCACGATAAGAGACATACAGACAGAGAGGTCAGAGCTTCTTCTGGGCAATGCTTGGTGATCACTGATCTGATCAGATCAGTGATCACAGGACAGAGGACAGGCAGTAGATGGGTCGTGTGATGGGGCCACTGGCCACTGGATGGCTGGATGGCTGTGCTGTGTAGAATAGAGGGTGTACCTCTAGAGCGATCGCTTCACAGCCCACTGCTTGCCTGCCTGTCTGTCCGTTTGTCTGTCTGTCTGTGTGTGCACACCCAGGAAGCTTGGTCTTGAGTAGGTAAGGGGGGGGGGGGCCTAGAGTATGTAGGTACCGGCGCAGTATGTAGATCAGAGTACTCTATGGCTGCGGCCTAAACACCAGTGCTAGATAGAGCCAGAGCTAGCGAAAAGAGCCTCCCTCCCTCCCTCCAGCCTGGCGGCGGCCGTTGTCCAAGCAAAGCGAAAAAAAAAAAGAAAAAAAATGTCAAAATCACGCAATCATCGTGAAGGGCTTGGGGCTATGCACTCTACTCTAGCTTAAAGTTGCAGTTACAGCGGGATCGCCTGTACATGACCGTGGGGTTGCGGCGGATGGGGCCCGTGTGACGGTGGTTAAGCCTCCTTGTTCAGCTGTGGAGGGCACTAATGGTCATGGTCTACTCCTCCACCCTCTCTACTCTACTCTACGCTAGGTAGGTGCTCTAGATCCTCACTTGTATGTATCATGTATGTGCTAGGCAGCAGCAGTGAAACGGGACGGATGGGATGGGATGGGATGGAATGGGATGGGATGGGATGGGGCATGGGATGATTAGAGGCGAAGAGTGTCCGGGGGGGCAGGCAGAGGGGCAGCAGAGGGGCAGATTAAAGATTAGCGAGGTCATCACCTTGAATTTTTCAGCAAAAGGGTATATTCTGGTGAAGCAGGTACCACAATCTCCATCATAGTTTCCAGGCAGACGCGCAGATGGGCAGTGCAGTCGCCGTGCAATTGACCAACAATGTCACCGCAATTCCGCTTTCCCACCGCCAAAGTTACCGCGAAACGCGAAAACCTATGAGTCTTCACCACCACAGGCAACC